GATATATATATATATATATATATATATATAAGCCATATATATTTTGGCATATTTTTCTATCATTAAGCGTATTTAATTATTTATTTGCATATAATTAACAAGGAACAAGGTATTGTCATTTATATTACAACTTTAATTTTTCCATTTTCCATTTTGTTGCCCCCCCCTCCCCCCAATATAAACTCACCAATTTTCAGCTTATTCCATTCATAAATGTTAAAGTTATGTAGTATAATTTTGGTTTTCAATATTCTGGTGTCTTTTGTCCTTCTTTATTCCTCTATAGGAATTTTCTCCCTCTATAGGATTTTTCTCCAAAATACCTGTAATGTCCGACACTTACACAGCCTTAACTTTTGAATTTATGGACAGATTTTGAAAAAGTGAAAAACATTTTACTTCTAGATTATTGATCCTTGTACCTGTGTTGTTTATAGGTTAGTAGTACCCATCTTTAAAAAAATGCTGTGGTATTGCTACATGAAATGTTGTCGACAGTACTATGGTTTTCATTTATTGTATTTATGCTCTTTTTTGCTTTTTAACATTTTTTAGTGGCTGACGGACAGGCAAAGAAGGAAATTACAGAATAAAGATGATGGTGAGAGAAACATGGCTTGAATATGATTGAATAGATTATGCTTTCATTAAACAAATTGGTTTGTTTTGCTAGCACACCTGTCCCCAATGTGTACGTTCCATTTTGAAATGAACAGAAAAACAGCCTTTAAGTTAATGGCACTGATGGCAACTCCATATTATTGTGGATAAGACTCCTTTTTAGGAAGTTACATCTTTTGTAAAGAATAGGAGCAAAGATTGGGCTAAAAACTTCTATTTACCAAAATACCAGTGGCAACTTTTATAATATTAAATGTCATTTGCAAAGGGTTCTCTTTGTTTGTTTGTGTTTTTGGGTGTCAGTCTTTGATATTACTCTGAATACACACAAAAGGAAAGCAAGATTTGATTTTTCAGTAAATATTGATAACTACTGTAATAAAAATTGTGTATTTGATAGCATTGTCTTATATTATGTTCTTCAAAAGTTCTATATAGTGGCGTCCGAAAGAAACTTGAAAATGTAGTCACCCAGTCAACGTGTCAAAGCCTTGCACTACCCACTCCTGCAGCATACCAATTTAAAGCGTAGTACGTTAAGAGACGCCTGAGATATGGTCATTCAAAATTGAATAAAAATAACCAGGCTTGGCAAAATTATTCAAAATCAAAGTCAAAGAAATATAAAATTATCTTTTCGCGTGTATTGAGGAGCATCAATATTGACAGAATGGATATACATTTCTTATCTAATGAATGGAGTATTTTGTTTCGGCAATGAAAAATATTTTACCGTCATAGTATCAAACAAGACAGAAAAACAGAGCAATCACAAATACCATGCAAAACTTTGACTTAACATCAAATGTGCTCATTGTTATTTTGCTTAGGAGCCATTGGTTGTGTAGAGCACGAACCCTTTGGGCATCGACTCTATTGGATTTTGGGCATAATTATGTCATTTCATTCCAAATATCACAGAGAGTTGCAAACAAAAGGTCTGAAGTGGGAGCGAAGTCGCTTTTTTTCAGCTATTGTTTCATGGAACTTAACATTCCTTTAGGATTCACATCGGAGACTATTTACAGGTGACCACTCCCACGTTGATATAATTTGGTTTTTCCAAGAATTGACTAGTAGCATTGCCCTGTGAGAAAGTGCTTTGCCATGCATGGAGATGTCTTCTTGAATGACACCACAGCAAAAATAATAAGACATGACGTTCCAGCACTTGCTCGATATAGTCCACTAAACTAAGCCATCTAGTTATTTTCATGAGGGCGATTTTGTTCATTCCACCCTGTGCCACCTAAAACCATGGAAGTCTCGTGGCCTCTGTTCATCACTGATAGATGATTATGTCCAAAATGAAACTAACACAGTCCATGTGCAAAACAAAATCAATAGTTCCTAAACAAAAATAAAATTATACTTATGAGCACATGTAATGTTAAGTCCAGTTTTTGTATGGTATTTGTGACTGCCCTGTTTTCCAATCTGTTTGAAAATATCACTAGAAAATGCTGTTCATTGCAGAGACAATAATATTTTCTTTGCATTTGATATTTAATACATGTCCATTCCACCAATGTTGATGCACCTCAATATACACTATACACACGAACAAACTTTTACGTTCCTTTGATTTCGCACAATTTTTCCAAGCTTGATTTTTAAAGGTCACCTTTGAGTGGCCATATCTCAGGCGTCTCTTAAAACATAGGTGAAATAGTAATATGTCAAATGTAATATGTTTAAAATGATATACTGCATGAGTGGGTAGTGCAAGGCTATAACACGATGATTGGGTGATTACATTTTCAAGTTTCTTTTGGACGCCACTATATGTGAGGCAGTGTGGTGAAATCAGGTGCTTCTCAAAATGATTAAATTGAATTGAATAATCAAATCCTATCTTCACAACCGAAGAGTACGTGTGCTGGTGGAGGGATATGAAGGACGGTTGTCTTCTTCATCAATGGGCTCATGAAAGAACTACCCAAAGGAATACATGCCGCATTGCATGCAGACAAACTGGTTCTTTGGTGCTCTAAGGAATTCATCACCACTGCCACATATCGCATGCAATTAGCACTGGACAAATTCACTACATGGATAAAAATTTGGTGTGTAGCCATAAGCAAAGAAAAGTCTTCTGCTACACTCTTCACTCTCAGCCAGGCTGAGCCAACAAAAAAACTCACACCCCTCTAAAGTTTGAGAATCAACAGAAGTATCTTGGAATAATCTTTGACAAGCGTCTCACGTAGAAACAACTCATTCAGAATGCAGAAACTAAAGCCAGGAAGAAGTTTAACATCATGAGAAAACTTGCAGCGACTCAGTGAGGAGCAAATGAGAAAACACTCAGACAGGTTTATCTGGGCGCAATCAGCTCTCATCTAGAGTATGGGTCCAGTTCATGGATGACTGCAGCACAGGCTCACAAACACACTCTGTAGAGGGCAAAACCAGGCTTTCCGAATAATCACTGGAGCAATGAGGTCAACGCCTATAGAAAAGATGGTACAAACAACATCTTTAGTGGCCCCGCGGAGGAGAAAGGAGTGCAAGACCCTCATACAGTACACCTAGGCCACAGCTATAGAGGATATAATGCACCCAAGAACAGCCAGATCAAACACCACAAGACTTAAAAAGATCCAACTTCATCAAAGAAAGCAGAAAAATACAAAAATCCCGACAAGACCATCTACCAGCCACAGTGAACATGCTGAACCATACCCCAGAGGCACCATCATGGGAAAAGAAAAACACAAGCATACACAAGCATAATTATACACACTTCCATCCCTATGTTCACCAAAAAAATGATCACAGTGACATGAGCAAAAAAAAAAAAATTCCCTCACCCTGTCCATGCTTTGAAGAAAGATACCATCGAGAAGCATGGATAAGGATCTATATGGATAAATCTTCTACTGATGCTGTGAAAAGAGGAGGAGCGGGAGTGTATGTTCAGTTCCCAAATGGACGACACCAAGTAGAGGCAGTCTCAACAGGGCCGCGTTGTACAAACTACAGGGCAGAGACGGAGGCTCTAACACATGCAGCAAACATCAAGGATGTGGTAGACCCCCAAAGCCAAGTAGTATGTCTCAACAAATGCCATGTCAGTACGGCAGGCAATCACTACCAGCAAACTACCAAAGCTGCGAGAAGTAATTGAGGACATCCCATGCCTGAGGATGATGCTGCAGTGGATTCCATCGCACTGTAGTGTCTTAGGAAATGAACAGGGAGACAGGATGGCCAAACTAGGAGCACAGAAAGAGCAACCAGACAACGGCGTCAACTATACAGAAATAAAAATTATTATAAATACACTATTTAAAGCACCGCAGACACCAGATAATCAGATAGCTACCATAAGCTGTCCCGCCAAGAACAAGTGATTATATCCCGACAAAGAACACAACACACAAGACAGACAACATATATACTGATATTTTAAACTAGTACAATCACCAAAGTGCCAGTGTGGAGAGGCGGACCAAACTGTGGTACACATCCTTCAGCACTGCAAGACACACAGGGCCCTGAGCCAGGAAATGTGGCCAACCCCACTAACACTACAAGAGAAGCTATACGGGCCAACAGATGAACTGAGCAGGATGGCCCAATATATGAAAGATACCGGACTTCAAGTGTGATGCGATCGAGAAGAAGAAGAAGAATTGAAAAACTAGCATTTTCCCCCGGTTTGACAATTTTTATTGAATTTTTGTTTTTGGCTCAGTTCCTTTTATGTCCATTAAAGAACACATTTCTGTGTGGATTTTACTGAAATATGTTGATTAAAGGCAAAAAAAAGGAGTAAATTTTCAGTTTCCACTCAAGTGATGGAAATAACCAAACTTTGATTGTCATTTTCTTGTTAATTTTACATCTGAAACCAGGTAACCCATTAACTTCTTCAGTCGCAAGTATTTTGACTTAAATTCAGGATAAATGGATTTTTTTTTTCATCCAAAGCAAGACAGATGAATAAGCTGTAAGATGATACCTCAGGATTTCAGAGAATAACAAATCCCAAAATATGTGAAGCGCGAGCTGACAAAATGAGTTACTTTTTGGATTCAAACCTTAATGAAATAGATACCTCACGCTTACAGGTGAAGTTTTAACAATTTATAAGTATGAAATAATAAAAGACAGGTTATAGTTAAAGAATACGGCATCAATAGAAAATCAACAAATTTGACCGTAATGTCGATTTTTGGCCAATATATCCATTTGTGGATTGCAAGAAGTAACTCCTTTTGTCAGCAGGCCAGACATATTTAAGAGTTTTCTCAAGACTCATTTGTTTAATGTAGTGTGTTAGTAAGTGCTATATTTTGTTTTTACTGCTGTCTTTACGTGTATGATATGGGATAGAATGCCATATAAATGCAATCTGTTATTATTGAATATACCAATAACTCCACATTCCCAATAATTGATGAGCGCCTGATTCCACTGCATTGTGACACATATCTTTATTCAGCAATAAATTACCAGTGTAAAAGAATCTATTGGCGGAAGTCTTGCTCTTCTTGGCTTTCAGTGATTAAAGAGTAGACAGTTTCAAGGGAATCTATTGTGCCCTTCATGTAGTTTGTTTTGTATTGCAACTGAGGAATGATTAAGATAGGTTTCTGGCTGCAGGCAGTTGTATGCCGGGGCTCTCAGACAGTTGAGATGTCAAGCTGAATTGTAAACGCCAATATGAAGAAATTCTGACCTCACAACGTGTGGGTGTAGAATACAATACGTTTTGTAAAAATTTTATTAAGTGATAACTGTATATTTCCTGCCATCACTTTAGCTCTGCTTTTGAATAACATTATAGCTTGCTACAGTTGAAACTGTACTCTACACATACCACATTATGATGAGAGCTCAAGAAAAAAACTCTCTCTACTGAAAAAAGCTTAACTGTTAGTAAGATGTTGCTTTTGTATATATATGTTATAGCTCTTCAAGTTTATACTTTTGTTTATTTCCATTATGCCTCAAGATTAGTGTAAATGTGAAGATAGATAAGATGTTCAAGGTTCTTTTAGTACTTGTGTGTTTTCAGGAGTAAGAGCACCCCTGGGGCGGTGCCACTGACTGAAGTGTCTTCAGGCCATTTCCAAAGGGTGGGCATTAATTTGTTCTTATTCAAAGTAGAATTGGAAATGGGCTGATTCAACAATGTCATGCTCATAACTGTGCCTGAACTGCAACAGGGAACTGCTGTTTTTTCTTTCCTGAATCCTTACTATCGTCATTTTGCCTCTACTTCTTTTGTATGTTTGTCACACTCTTGTGACCCACTATTTCCGGGGTGCCTTGATAGTCCAAGCAAACTTTGTGCTGTTGAAGCTAGAGAGGTAAGCAGAGTAAGCCTGATTCCCTGTAAAGACTTCTATTTTTGACATCCACCCCTTGACACTCATATGACCTCATGCAGTTGCGATCGCCATAAAACCTCTACTAAAACAAAACAAAAGGAGTGAGAGGGCTAGAATTACTACTGTTATTTTATGAAGTAGATGCAAAAGTGAAAAGATATATTGTCCAGTTTAGGATGTGACATGTTATCTCTGTTTCAGATATTCGGAGGAGGTTGGAACTAATTCAAGACTTTGAAATGCCAAGTGTCAGCAACTGTGTAAAAATTTCTCCAGATGGGCAGTTCATATGTTCAGCAGGTTGTACCCTATTGGTTTTATTTTCAGCTTCATTTTTCCTCATAATTGACATTCTTATGAAAACTTACTTGTACTGGGATCACATTATTTATATAATTTGGGAACGGAATAAACAATCAGATCATCTATAATTTTTGGTCAAAGACATTAGACACAAAGAATGTGAGATAAGTTTGGCTTTGGCTATTTTAATGCGAATAGTCATACCATGAGTAGCTCACAGATATTTAAAGCAATGTGTGCTGTCTTGCATAAATTAATAAAATCCCTGGTATTGAAATGAACTCATTTGTATTGTGGCATATATCCAATCTCTTGTTTCTTGTGATCTCACTGAGTCCTTTTGGTGGCTTGCCTCTCATCACAAGGATACCTGGTTAATCAGTACTGGGTTCAAGCAGCCATGATGAGTGGAAATTTTCATCTTTTTTTCTTTCTTTTTAGATGGCTGGTCCCAGGTACATTGACTCCAACAAGGAGTCCTGTCAATCAATGTTTAAAAATTCGGAAGTCTGATTTGACAGTTTCCTGCTTTAAAAGCTCCATGGCAGGCTTAAAGATATAGGTGCACAAACCTATCTGCAAAAAAATTACTTATTTGTACCAATCCACATCTATATGTATAAATCTGGTAGCGCTGAGCTTTGCATCACTTTTTGGAGGAAACCAGACACTCATCAGGCCTCAAAATTTGAAGTAATTTAGCAACCCATATTCTAAAGAACACAGTTGAGCTGGACTTAAAAATTTCGGTACCTGTGTTTTGTTATAAAATCCAATTGAAATTGTCCAAGTCAAGATGGCCACCAATTGTGAAGGAGTAGAATGGTTATTTTAAACAGGTGGACATCTTGAATAGTGTCATCATTCTGATATATAGAAAAAATGCAAGGGGATGAGTGGGAAGTGATCATTTGTACCGGTAATTGTCTTGGACAGGAGGCTGTTAGTGCAGGTTCAACTATCCAATTAAGCTATTGATTTTCTATTCCACTTATAAAAATGTGAGCATTCACTGTTCAGTATAGGTGAAAAACTGTCTGAATAAAAGCAACTGGGAATCCCGCATTGGTATCAAACTTATTACTGACATAATGTACCATCTTTTCTCAGGACACTAGTTTAAAATATGACTCTGGTCAATATGAAGCAAAGAAGAGAGCTTTTAGAAATGACATGTGCAGGGAGGGAAGTAGGTTATATTAATATATATATTTATTTGTATATGCATATATAAAGATAAAAAAGTACACAAATGATAATATACTAATCAAGTGCTATGCTGAAGGCCTACAGCTGACCTCCTCCATGGAGGAATAAAAATGAAGAAGAATCCCCCTATATTTTTAAGTGAAATTATTCAACATAGTTCTGTGTTTAGTTTTAAAGTCTCCCTAATTGATATAACAGAGGGGGGTAGATATTTTGAATGTTGCTATAATGTTATGTCTGTATATTTTTGTTTCACAGAAAATGCCAAAAGTGCACTGTTAATTTCTTCTATTTTGTTTCAGGAACGTATAAACCGCGCTTTCGATGCTATGATGTTCATGAGCTGTGCCTGAAATTTGAGCGAGGGCTTGATGCTGAAGTGGTTAATTTTCAATATTTGTCAGAGGACTACAGCAAGGTTTGTGTTCCTTGTTTCTTTGATTATAAACTAATGATGCTTTAGTGATGTTCCTGTGCAAACAAGAGTGGTTACCCTTTTTCAAAAACATGATTTTTAGATGTTTAAATGTTCATAAATCTTTTGCTTAGTGTATGTCTTCAACAGATCAAATAGGTTTTAGATGTTTGCAGAAAATCATGTGATTTTTATGACTTTTTTGGGCGGTTAAAACTCAAGACAATTAACAAATCTTGTGGAATGTAATTGATTTATACACCTTGTCACAGACGGGTGATAATGGATCTGTAAACAAGGCCACTTGATCAGGAGGGGATATGGCGAAAAATGAAAGAACGAAAAAATGCCAACCAACAGTATTGTTGAAATATGCCCAAATATTCACAAGTCAGTATATGAGGAAAAACATGGACATGCATTTTATACCCTCGCAATACTTATCTCATTCGCTACGTATTATTTTGGGCATGTGGACGAATTTTTTTCGGGAGCTCAAAATGAGATGATGACTAGTGCGCAGTTAAAATGTCTTTGGGCCCACAAATTCAAATGAATATCAACATATTAAACACCGAAATTAAATATGTTTGCACCTAGTCAAGTGATACATCAAAATAACCATAAATGAATATAGAACTGGTAAATATTGAAAAATTTGCAGTTATTTATATACATTCCACACAATTTGAACATTTGGATCATAACATCCGATATTTAAAAAACATTTTTATAATATTTTAAAAAAAAGGACAAAGATGTGTTCACAAACAGAAAAAACTCACACGTATCTTATATGGCATTATTCAGAATTGCATTTGGAATAAACCTACACATGTCTTGAGTGGTACTTTTTGTGTAATTTCTCCCCCCAAAATATGGTGATTTTTGGGGGGCGAAAAATATCTTGACAATTAAGATCTTGATCTAACACTGAAAAATATTGATTTCTCAATAACAGAGCAACGGCAAGTTGAGTCCATTTTACAAATAGTATCTATATTCTAAAGAAGATTCCTAGAGTAATCGTACCGGTTCGGGCAGCACCTTTTTTTTTTGCTGTCGGGCACTGGAGTACAAAAAGATCGTTTAAAACTTTGTTTTTAAATCTAGCCCCAAAAGAGTGGCACACAAACCTAAAGCAACCTCCCTTGCTTTCGTTGAAACAACAGTTACAGCGATATTTTGCTAAAAATAGTCCTTAAGACAACTTTTTCTTCATCAACTGAGCAAAACAGCGTGAAGCTCTTTCCCCGGAAGAGTTAACATTGGTTGTGGATGAAGGAGCCTGTGACCTAGATTCTACGTTTTGGTAGACTCTGAAGGCTGGAGAGTTATTTGCATATGAGACCCTGTCAAGAATGAAAGAGAATTTGCCGTTTAGTGTTGCCCAAACGGGGGGTGCCCGGATTGTAACATAAAATCCGTAGTTTCTCATCCTTCGGGCACATAAGATAATATAGAGCCAATGGTTATATAACAAAGAATAAAGAATTTGTGCATAATTTAAATAATAGTAATAGTAGAGTCAGATACAGTATATTAGCTCAGTCAGACACCAGGGTAGTAAAGTCAGATACCATCGTGTAATACAGTCGGATATCAGTGTAGCCGAGTCAGATCCAGTGTAGTTGAGTGAGCCAGATGCCAGTGTAGTAGAGTCAGATATCACGTAGTAGAGTGGGTCAGATACATACTCATTAAAATAGCTATAAATGGTGAAAACCACTTTAGACAAACTATCATTGTGTCCAAGTGTTGATAACAAGCATTAAAAATCATGTTATTAAGCTTGCAAAGAAACAAATGTGATGATAATTGAAAATGACCGAATGTCAAAATACTGCCCGAATCCATGAGAAAACAAAAAAATGTGTCCGAACTCGTAAATAAATCGGGCGTCACTTTTGCACTGGTAATTTTACTCTACATTTTTTTAGTAAGCAAAATAATGATACATTTTGTTGTGTAAAAGTACTAAGACTGGTGTCTGGGCTATAATTTGGGCATCGCGATAAAACAAAGTCGGATAAACTTCGAAATCGTGTTTCAAAACTTAATAAAAACTTCTGATTTTCGGTGGAAACGCTTGACTCGGAAGTCAACGTTATATTATAACCTTTATTTTAACATGGATATGTGGATTGGAATAAAATCTAAGCTAGAATTATAGGTCGGGGGCGGCTCGTCGTAGTGAAGTCACCTTAGCCGTGTCGCTGCCCGCAGTTCGGCGTAGGGAATGAGTTAATTGGATGCTTTGTTTAATGTCCTAGATGGTTATACTACTATTCATTGGCGTTTCTTATCTTTGATTATAGTTTTGGTGCTAGTAGGTTATCTCCATGAGATCACGGTCACAGTAGATCAGACGTTCAAAATCCCCTTTTGTGGGTAACTTTTCTGTTGATAATTAAATTGAGCTAGAGAAAAGCTTTAAAAGTCTTGCTTATTATTGTCTATGAATTTATTTATAGTCAATTGTTGTCGCTGAATAGTTTTAGGATTTGTCGCCACTCATTTAAAAAGCTTGAGCTCTCTGTTTTCTGTTGTGTGGAACATTAGTTCTCACATTGTCTATCTAGACTGTGAAGGGTTAAGAACAATACTTTACATGTTAACATAAGTTGTCTTGTAAAAATATACCTGACAGCAACATCTATGTCTTGTAATATTGCGCATGTATAAACCAGTTATGGGAGATCCTTAGCTGTATGTTGGCAGGTTTATCAAATGAAATTTATGAGGACACTGCAAATCTGTCTTTTCAGTGTACTACTTTTTTTTCTGAATACCTGTTCCATGCAAATTAGTATTGTGTTTTGTTATAATTTCAGGTATGCTTTTTACAAGATGACAGATATGTGGAATTTCATACACAGTTTGGAAGATTATTCCGTATGCGGATTCCCAAATATGGCCGAGACCTGTCATACTACCCACCGTCCTGTGATATGTACTTTGTAGGTGTAAGGTAAAAGGTTTTTCTTATCTGACATTACGATAAAGTATATTATTTATTATTTTTGAAAGTGCTGGTCAGGTTGTAAGTGCAAACTGCTACATTGTATAAGAAAGTCTGATATTGGAGGTTTCCAGTCAGAATTATTTTTTTTGGTCTGATATTGGAGATTTCCTGTCAGAATTATATTTTTGGGTAACAAAAGTGCATGTTACAAATTTTGTCAAATTAATGGTTATTGTTTTTACAGTTTTGAGGCAATCACAAGCCTGTTGTCAGCAACTGACTTTGATGATTGTTAATTGCAGATGCCAGGCTGTCAGAGTTGTTTCAAATGTTTTTTAAGCCGCTGAGTTTTTAAGCAGCATTATTTGCTTAACTGTACATTTCTAAAACATTTGCCGTGCTGGTCTTGCTGTAAAGTAGCTGGTGTCTAGGTTTGATTGGTTATCACCTTGGTTTAAGTTCATTAAGTCAATAACTGAGTGTCAAGGGGGTCTGAATTTTCCTTTTCATTGCTCAGAGGTTGTTCATCATTTTGAACATTCAGTTATCAATTAAGATTAACCTTAATATGCATTGCTAAAGGACACACTGTGCAGGGGTGAGTTCTGTAAAAACTGTTCACAAGGAAATTAGACTAGCTTTCTTTTGTTAACCTATGTTAATTATTCAATGAACAATTTGGAATGTTTTTATGTAGAGTTTCAGCTTAGATGATAAATAGGTAAGTTTTTTTTAAAATCTAGAGAAAGCGTGAAATGTTTTGTATGTGTTGAAAATTTTCTAGATTGATTAATGCTTATAATGTCTAGAATAGCAGAATATTGCTATATTTTAGGCTTTTAACTAATTAAAGACACACATTCTGGCTTTAAGGCAATGCATGAAGATGTGCTGTTTTGGGGCATAACTTGTTTGTTCAAACAGATTTTTTTATTTTGTTTTCTTTATTGACATTTTTTTGAAAGACATGCAACAGTATGCATACTATGAAATATGCAAACTCATTGTTTCTTTTGTTGCCTTTCTCTGCTGCTAATGGGACGTGTGTGTTCACTATGTTCTCAAAGAGTTAAAAAAGAATCTTGTTTCCTTTTCATAGTGTTGTAGTTACATGTTTTGTTTGAGAAGATAGATTACAAAATGTTTGTCTGATCTCACTTTGTTCTTTATTGTCACAGAATGCTGTCCTTTTGCTGATCAAGATCATAAATTGTTTTATCTTTCAGCTCTGAGATTTATAGAATCAACCTTGAAAAGGGAAGATTTATGAAGCCACTTGAAACATCTGGGGTGTAAGTACATGTTTTTTCTTTGGCTAAGGGTTTGAATCTTATACTTTTGTGAATGGTGATACAGAAAATTGTGCTAATAAGGAAGGAGTATGCAGATTTTGAATTTTGAAGGAATATTAGATGAGGTTGTATGCCTACTTCACCACAGAACACACAAGATAAAGGAAGAAACACATGTATTCATTTGTGCCCGTGCAACTGTCACTTAACAAAGAATGATGAGAGATATAGAGAGCCAAAAGTATGTGAAAAGAGCGAAGTGGAGATACTCTTCTCATATGTGGAATAGACATTAAAAACAGTGGTTCTATTTTCATACTTTGTTGTTTGTATTTAAGAAATGTGGATGTAGATCAAAAGGGTAATCTACATTAAGATGTTATCTTTATACACCCAGACTAAACTCAAACTGTTGAGAAAAATAGTTGATCAAAAAGTAGATAGTGTGGATTTTGTTGTCTAAATGTGTTATAATGCTGAGAAAGACAAGGAAGGACTGCCCTTTATATTCATACTTTTGCTTTGTTCTTCTTTCCCAAAAGAGAATTCAACTGTTGTGAGTTCAACCCCACCAACTATGTGTTCGGTTGTGGGTCAAAATCAGGTCATTTTGAGTGCTGGGATCCCAGGTCCAGGACGAGAAGTGGCATCCTGGACGTGGCTACGAGCAAATTTGTTGAGGAGTACGAGTAAGTGTTGGAGACTTATGAAGTTATATCTCTGGTGCTTGGGAGAATGAGAATAGTGTCTGACTCATCATTCGACTTTATTAGAAGTGATGTTAAGATTTGGAGACACACTGTAATATGTTAATCATTTCTGTGTTTTGTTCGTGAAGTGTAAAAGTATCCAGTATATGAAGTGTTTTCGGGGGGATTTTGGCCCAACGCCGCTCAAACTGATGTGCAACATTTAATAGTTTTACATTTCCCAAATGTAGAATCAATTTGCAAACAAGGGTAATGGCTGACTTATTGCTGTTTTGAACTACAGTCGAACCTGCCCTGACGGCCATCTCTATTAGACGGCAACCTGTACAAACGGCCACTTTCCATTTCCCCCCTTGTGTTTTTTCTATATAACTTAACTGTGTAAAACGGGCACCTGTCGAACGCGGCCGTGGCCACCATATCCAAACACAACCCCTATCACACCAAGCAATAACACCTGTCTTAGAGGCCACCTTAGTGACTCCATTACGTTTTGTCTTAAATTGTGCATTGGTCCTTGGCGTTGTGGGCGAACCGTCATAATCCAATCACCTGTCGTTGTTGTTAGGTAGTCCGTCCAACCGATCATGTTGCGTAGGCCCCTCCCACTGTTGACTAATAGGTAACAAATTTTCAGCTGCTGGTGAGGTAAGCGTATGACCTCTCATAACTCATAAGCCCCGCCCAGAACTCATACACAAAACGTAAGTGAGATGACTGACCTGGTGACTGTTTACCCAGTTTGTAACAAAGAAACGATGGACGACAACATGAATGTGTGATAGAAACGAGTGGTGGCGACCCATGTGTTTGTTTTACCATAGCACTTTGTCCTCCTTGTCTGACACATTTCGTTTTATTGTCTCCCTTGCACAAAAGCAGCAACAAAATAAAAGAAAGAAAAGAAAACTTTAACCCAGCGAAAACAACGAAAAGAAAACAAAAACACCAACAATGCGGCTACCTCCGGTTGGGACCTCAGAAAGGAATGGTTTGTTTTCTTCATCTGGATCAGTCCTGCCTAAGAGGACCACCTGTCTTATGCAGCCACTGTTCTCCTATACAATGGGTGGCCGTTTTACACAGGTTCGACTGTATATGATAATCAATCCTATAAATTTGCAATGAGGGAAAAGGTTATTTTCATTCTTATAAAGCTGCTGGTAATGTGGAATAGTTTGTGCCTTCAAATGGACACTGATAAATGTAGTAATACTGGTCGAATTAATTTTTCTACTTTGAATGTTCTGTATTCGTTACAGTATCAACACAGTCCCTGAGATCTCAGCCATGAAATTTCGAAGTGATGGGTTGACAGTGGCACTGGGAACAAGCACAGGACATGTAAGGAATTATTTGTTGTTTTTATTTCTGCAAGTTCTTGTGGTTTTCATGAGATTTTGTGTGTCGTACATGTATAATAATTAAACATTTTTTTCTTTGAGTTTAAAAACCCTTCTTGGTATAAGAAGATCATTTTAAAATTGTGAGTGGCTCTGAAGTGGTTTTTGAAGGTCTATTTTCTGCTAGCCGCTTGAATGGCATGGGAGAGTATGTGTGGAGAGGGGATCGGGATGCCACCCCATTGTCTGAGAGCTTGGGATGTCTGAGGAATTCTTTTTCTTTTCTTTTTTTTCACAAATTTGTGTGGTTTTTATGAGATTTAATGTGACCAGCAGTGATGTTGTTCCCCTTGCCCCTATTTATAAGATAAATAAGATGAGATACATCTTTATTGTCCAGATCCTTGCACATTGGTTTGGTGTTTCACCACATACGCACACTCACACACACACACGCACACTCTCACAAACATGCTCACACACGCAGGCTTGCAATCACATGCATAATATAAATGAGCATCAATATAAACAATAATAATCTTAAGGTAGATACATACTCAATGTTATTCTGATGCATGCTCTAAGGTCATATGAATACTTATGACAAGATGGCTAAGATGGAAGAATTTTGATGGAAGATGGTAAGAATGACATTCTGTATCTTTCTTTGTTACTGTTACAGATCAGAAGCCTAGCTCTTTTGCTTCTGACTGATGTTTTTATTTGAGGGAACAAGGGATGTTTGTTGTCTGAAAAGATGGAATCAATTATTTTGGTGCTAGCTGTGATATACAATTCATCCAAGTAGGGGAATTTGGATGTTGAAATTTTACATGCTTTCCATATTAATCAATTTAATTTTTCTTTATCTTGTTGTCTTATGTTCCCAGCCTGTGCTGTTATACAAAAATTGATCATACTTTTTATGGTTGAATGATAGAATATGGACATCTATGTTTTATCAACTTTAAAATACTTGAGCTTCCTTAGAAAAAATAGGCTTTCGTTCACTTTTTTATGCAGGAGAGAAGTTTGGACATGCCAGTTGAGTTTGTTGTCTATTGTACATGGGTCTCAATACTCCGCTATTTAGCAGATTTCCGCTACCGCCATGTCCTCCGCTAAACTCCGCTACAGCGAAAGCGGGTCAATCAGAAAGAGAGTTGCTGGGAGCAGAGTGACTGCCAGGCCTCTGGAATTACCCGGGAATTTGAAAAAAAAAATCGCCAAGACGTGGGAAAATACATAAAAGATCTCGAATATTATTTGAAAACCAAATCCGATAACGTCTTTAAGTTCATTTTATGTCGGTCGCGATTGTGATGTTAATTCGGCCTTTTCCGGTCTGAGAGTACGTTTCACGCGACCAGGCGGCTATGGCGGCAAGCGGAATTGTATGTGACACCGAGGCTCGACCGGAAAATCAAGATCTCAGAAATTTGTCTGTAAAAGTCTGAATACGCAACATTTGTAACATGCAGGTTCTGCATTACAAACATGGTGTCGCCATGAAAATAATGTTCGTCACTGTGCTGTCGCTTGTGGGGGGGGGGGGGGGAGGAGAAAAAGAAAAAGTTATACAAGCGTCTTGTCGGGCTCGTCATTGTGACCGGTCAATGAACCTGCGCGCGTTCTGAGCGCTGTGAAGTACAGGACTCCGGAATGGGGGGAAGATTATTGAATTCTTTAAAAAGATACACTCGGGGATGGGGGGAGGGCTGGACGCAACACCAGATGACAAAAAAAAGAAAAGAAATTGGAAGCAAATTTTAATATTTAGAATTTTGGTTACTACTACAGCTCTCTGCAAAGTAAAGTGCGCGTTTGTGCATGCCGTGTGTATAATCGGGATCCGTCATAACTACTTGTAAGCGTGTTAATGAACTTAGGGCAGGGGCCTCAGTGTTCGCGTTTCATTGGAAGGGTGACAGTAAATTATGTCTCTATATTTTAGTTATTTGTTTCAGATTCGCAAATTTTCAGTGTCACTGTATCTTGCCCTCCCACAGTTCCTACACCCCTCACACTGAATAGGTTTACTTGAGCTCTTCAAGTTATTACATGTACTCTACTTTGAGATTGAGCATTAATTTTGTCTTTCACGTATATTACATGAATCATTACACCCAGACTGGTTCATGACAGTCGATATTCTGGTTCTCTAGGCCTTTTCCCAGGCTCAAAACAAGATTTATTTATATAGTTTATATAGGTGAATATGATGATGGTAAGATATAAATAAGTCGCACAAGACCACAGTGCGCCTCCACTTTCTGTACGTAATCAAGATTGTAAATATTTGGTAAGTGACTCTAACTTGAAATTATCTTCCAAACCCTCAAACTGGTATGAAATAACCTTCCTTTGATAAATTGATGGTTTTTATTTCAACATTCTAGGGCCCAACAGTATAATAATAGTGGGTGTCTTGCGAAAATGGGCTTCTGTCGCGATCACTCGGAAAGTTCCTCCTTTTTAAAAATTCCGAGTTGAGACCCATGATTGTAACACCCAAATACTTATAATCTGACACTTGCTCGATGTTTTCTCCTTAAATTTCGAGTGGCTGCAGGGACAGTTTCTTTTTTTCTAAAATCAACAAGTTCTTTTGTTTTTTTCACATTGAAAAGCAGCTTATGATTTTCTCACCTTTGTGCCCAAGTACAAAATTCCAGTAAGCAGTTTCGTTATGTCTGCCTGAATTAGCCCAATTATGGTTGAATCATCTGCAAATTTGATCAACTTAATATTACTGTTGTTTATTTGACAATTGTTCACGTGTATAGTGTGAATAAAACTGGTGACAAAAAACGTCCTTGTGGGGCCCCTGTATTTGTTGTGATGTATGGGGATGAGGAATGTTTTAATTTTACATACTGGGTTCGGTTGGTAAGAAAATTACCTATCCATGATATTAAATTGAAGCTAACACGTATGTTTTCTTATTTCTTTAAAAGGATAGCTGGCTAAATAGTATTAAATGCTGACGAAAAAAATGTCTGTAATATCTTTTGACTGACTTCTTTTCTTTAATTCTCTTGAGATAAATAAGAAAAGTAGTAAAAGAGCATGTTGAAGCTTTTTCATTTCCAACAACAAAATGTTTTGTTTTGTTTTGACAATGACAATCTTTATTCATCTCGCAGGGAGAAATTTGTCTTGGTCCTTAACAATGGCAGTAGACGTCACAAAGATTAGGTGTACTCGCGCATATGCACAACAAGACAGGACATTAGTAAAATAATGTCTCACGTGCTGAAACAACCTGCTTCGTAAAACTCTCTCTCTCTCTCTCTCTCTCTCTCTCTCTCTCTCTCTCTCTCTCTCTCTATAACAGCCTGCAGTATATAAAGTGTAGGTTTAAGTTTTGTTCTTTATAATTTTTTGAAAAAATATTGTGGCCATTACTTGCATTTCGTTTTAAAGGAAATCCTGAAATAAGATAGTCCAAAGTTTGGTACATGCTTTTTTACTTTTTTCCCACAGGTGCTATTGTATGATTTGAGAGCGATGAAACCTTTCTTAGTGAAAGATCACAATTATGAGCTCCCTATCAAATCCATTGATTTTCAAGATGGACAAGATCTTGTACTTTCTATGGATACAAAAATATTGAAAATGTGGAACAGAAATAATGTAAGTTGGATGTGTGTGCTGTTATGTTATGTAGTCACAAGACTTTAGGTTGATGGACTTGCACTCTCTTCTTCACATACTTCATTTTGTTTCTTAAAAACAAAACTGGATGAAGACTGCAAAATACTTTATGGACAAAAATGCTTTTACAGTTGAACCTGTCCAAGATGGAATTGCACGTAAACTAGAAACAAAAAGTCCATCTTGGACAAGGGAATTTAGGGGGATGGGGGGGGGGGGGGGGTCCAGAGGGCCAACCCATATGTGGTGGGATCAAGGGTTGTCTGGTGCTATCCAAGCATCTCAGAATGCACCAGTGTTACTTATCCATTGTCACTAGTGCTTGCAACTCATAGGATCGCTGTTTGACCAGTTACTCCTTTCCTGTCCTGTGGGCGTGCCTGGTACACCCTTGACAACCCAAGTTTTATTTTGTTCATATCTTTACTTCTGCACAGTTTTGAATGAAGAGAGTTATAGACTTTTTTTCATTGTTCTCTTGCTGATGCAATCATGTATATATTTGAAGGCTTCTATGTGCAGGACTAGTGCTTGATAGCATTTTAAACAAAGAGAGGTGTTTTTGTGTTGCTAGTGAAAGATAAAGCCAGCCTGCCAATAATTAATTGTATCTCAGTGGTTCTTGCATGCCGACCGCATTTGCCACCATGGCGTTGCTAAAGCTGAGCATTGATCCTCAGACTGTTGCTGAAATTTACTGTGATGCAGATAGTGATGACAAGGATTTCAATTCTTTAGAAGAAAATCCACGTCATCATTTGCAAGATATATTGAACAACAGTGACAGCGATCCAAATTGTAAGGGGAAAAATCGTGCTTGCTTTCACCTGTCTTACTTAGAAGGATAAATTTGTCAAAAAAGATGTCTCTACCACATGATTGTTTGTTTATTGATGTATCCTTTTTTATATCTAGTGCTTATAGGAAGTGAGCTATAGCCCTTCAAACAAAGGAATCGCATCAAATACAGCCTCTGGGGAATTTGTTGTAGTTCGGAGACTTATTTTTAGCAGGCAAGGGGATGTAAACAAATGATTGAATGTCTCCTTTGTTTCGACCCTTAGCCCCACTCATTGGTAGAATTAGACAATCAATCAATACCACCTCTCCTCCACATGTAATGATTTCAGGAACTTTTTTCTCGGCTGGTTGTACGATCAAGGCGGCAGGCAGTAGTTAAATTAATTTCACATATCTGGCTACTCTGGGAAATTTTCTGTGCTGGATCATCACTCGAGCACTCACACAAATTGTGGTGAGATTTCACATCCACACCACCCAGACCATCAGCATGGCTCAGGGCACACATGGTTGGGTTACATTTACCCCAAAACCGCACCCTTTCCCACTTTCTTCGCCTGGCGGCATGGCGTAAAGGTTAAAGCTGATGGAACCAAACTTCCAATTTTGTTTAAAATCAAGGCTGAGTGGGCAAAATATTTGCTGATTTTAACAGGTCAAAATCCTCCTGGGGAAAGAAATTTCTCTTTCTATTGCCAGGTTGAGCAGGTTTCCATCTTAAAGAGATATATTATAGAGGAATTTATCGAGTTGTGGTGGTGGTGGGACGGAGGAGTGAGGAGATTTCATTATGTTAGGTTTTCGTTGACGAGTTTGACTGTATTTAATTTTTTTAGTTCTAAGTCTCACTTTTTCCAGGTTGTGTGTTTAGTGGAACTTGATAGGCTACTCTTAGAGTCTCAAGGTGATTTGAGAAGCAATTTTGGTTATTTGGGGTTTACTGTTATTTTGGAGATCTTGAAAATGTTCTCACACAGTCATTTTCTGTATTTCTCCCTCTCAGGGAAAGCATCTGACTGCCATTGAACCAGGAGTGAACTTGAACCAGCTGTGTACCTATCCAGACTCAGGGTTGCTCTTTCTGGCCAATGAGGCTCCCAAGATTCTCACCTATTTCATACCCGTAAGAAATGTTTGAACATCATGTACTTCATTTGTTTTACTTTGCTGTTTGGTAGGGAGTATACATGTATATGACCGTTGTCTGATGACAATACTTCAACTTCCAAGTGTATTTTCCTTGTGGATTCCTAGTTTTGATCCTAAAGTGGCACTGAATGGGTATTTTTTTTAATGAGCAAAGTCAGCACAGCTGCCGTGTCAAAAAACATGTCTAGACAATAACTTTCTTCTGTTATATTTAATTGTGTTGCTCCTAATGGCATGTGGAATCTTGTCTTCTGGTTTCTGGCTTGTAAATATATATGTCAAGTCTAATGCTTGACTCAAGCAGCTGACCATACCAATTAGTTAAGTTTTAAAATCTTTTGCTCAGATAGTAGGATAGTAGGGAGTCAATGATAACTCTCTCTCTCTTTCTCTCTCTTTCTCTCTCTCTCTCTCTCTCTCTCTCTCTCTCTCTCTCTCTCTCTCTCTCTATGTGTGTGTGGTATGTTTGTGTGTGTGTGTGAGAGAGAGAGAGAGATAGAGTTATCATTGACTCCCCACTAGAGAGAGAGAGAGAGAGAGACAATGTTTTATTCTTGTCCCTGACAGAGTATTGGCCCTGCCCCACGATGGTGCTCCAGTTTAGATGGCATGACAGAAGAGTTGGAGGAGAAGGAAGAAAACACAGGTAACTGTTTCCTGTCTCAGGAAGTTTGTTTGGTCTCACTTTTATAATGAAATTTGAACATACTCCTATGTGATTGGTTGGAGGGTGCCACTGGTAGTCTTGCTTTTTCCCTGTACTCATTGACCATTATCCTGTTGATGTGTGTCTCTTAACTCAAAGAAAAAGCTGACCTTTTTCATTCTCTGTATGTGACTTGAAGTTTGTGGCCCTTTAATTTAAAAGAATCTAGATCACTCTGTTAACTCTTTTTATCCGGGCTATGAGTATACTCGTAACGAGGACCAGTCCGGGCTACGAGTATTCTCGGAACAGCGATACGGTCACGTCAAAGAAGCTAGTTTTGCTTGTGATACCAAAATACGCAAATACGGCGATGCTAGCTCTGTCTGAATATTTTAATTTTCCTATTTATAGTTGTTTCTTTGTTTTTGATGGGTGTAGAAGCTTGAAAAATGTCTCGAAAACGCACATTCACGACCGACGAAGTACTTTTTGAAGTGGCGCTGGGTTGTGAGGGGGAATGATACTAATTTGATGAAAGTGACTCTGAAATAAGTGCCGTAAATTCCGTTGTGGATGATAAGAAACAGGACTTAGACTCATCTAATAACGATTCAGATCATGGTGAAGGGGTCAGAACTGGAATTCGTGCTCGATGGGTAGGGCTAGATCTACATCTATAAAATCCACTGGGACGTCATGGGCGCGACAATCAGGGTCAAGTTCGAGGGTGGAATACACCTCAAATCTACATAATGCTATTGGTGTATTTCCTAACCACCTACATAATTAAAAACTACATTCAATTTCTAACATAACTGTCAAATTTCCTTAACATCTTAGAGTAAATGTAAGAAATATAGCACTTTGAACTATACGCACTGACTTCTGACTCATACGGCGCGGCGGCACCAGGACTGGTACAGAGTCCGTGGGGGTACTGCTAGGATAAAAAGAGTTAAGTACCTTGGTTGAGTGGTTAGGGCTTTGGACAAGCTGTCATTTGATTGGGGTTGTTCACAACAAAGATGTGAGCTCAATTCTCACACAAACAAGACTTTTTGTGAGTACCTCTCCATTTCTGTTAGGGTCGAGTATATCAGCCAACTTGGGTTGGCCCTGACAGACCAGACCGAAGCAGCCAGACTCCTTAATAATCTTGTTTGTTTCAGTTGGGATGTGAAACTTTTTTTCAGTGATATTCAGCTTGATTCAAGTAGCTGACGAATCAGTTACAATTTTTTATCTTTTACCTTTTGTTCAGATATAGTTTTTCAATTCCGAGCAACCGGACATCAATGCAATAGCCTAACCATTGCTACACAGACTCCAGTAGGTAGTCAATGGTTACAAACAAGAAAGCTTTGTGTGATTTCTATTTTTCACTGAGTAGGTAATGTACCTTTCCCAAGGACATAATTTAAAGAACTTTGACACAAATATATCTGTAACATTTATGCTCTTCCAGAAAATGTGTTTAATTTGTTCTACTCTTTTGATGCATGTGTTTTTGTATGGATTTATTTTTCAGTGTATGATGATTACAAGTTTGTAACGAGAACTGAGCTGGAAGAACTCGGTCTGGGGCATTTGATAGGAACAAACCTGCTTCGAGCTGTGATGCATGGTTTCTTTATCGACATTAGGTTATATCACAAGGTAAGCATATGTTGGTTTTCCCCTCTATTAATGTTAGTTTGGCTATTTACAGAATTTTAGAATATGTTGGTTCAAAACGTTGTGGCAGAATAGTTAGTGAATGAGATGATTATGTTTGGTTCTAGTTTTGTTTTGTTCTCATGCAAATTACCTCATCACCATATTTGATTTTCTTTGTTACACCTCTTTTGCATGTTTTTCCTTTGATTCACAACTTTCTGTTAAAAAAAAGGAAGAGGCTAGGGAAACCAGGATCCTAGTTGGATTGTATAATATATGTATTTAAACCATATTCAAAGGTTCCAGCATCTAAATTTCCAAAATGCTCTTTTTGTGCCCTTGTTTAGTAAAGAGATATGTTGGTCTGAAGTATCTTACTTTCAGAATTTTTGCAGGAGTGTCGAAAAGGGTATCTATTGGAAACAATTAATGAGCTTTTTAAAAAGTGAAGTGGTGCTCTGGTTTTGACATTAGACAATCAAACGCGTAAATGGTGGAACATTAGAGTACAGACTAAGCCCCCCCCCCCCAGAAGCTGAGCTAAAATTTTTTTTTTTTAAAAGAATGAAATTTCACACACCAAGTAAAGCCACTATTTAACTTTAACCAGTCCTAAATTGGTAAAAGGAAAAACAAATGATCATGGGGAAAAATTGTTGGTCAGTTGGGGGGGACCTTCCGGGATTGCGATTCGATCCCACGCTCATAAAGTAATTGTATGACTTTAAACGCAGACACGCTGTCCATTTGGCCATCAGAACTTCCGATGGTGAATTCTAGATTAAGCTTTATATATCTTTGCATATCACAAGAGGCCACGCAACAAAGATCTAGATGTAGTTTTTTACATCGGATAAAGTCGGAAACACTGGGGGGAGGGGGGAAGCATCAATGAAGCAGCGGGCACTTTAAAGAAGAAGAAAACGGATGCGAGAACTCGTGTGAACCGGTGAATCGCGCGTGCGCATCACAAATAATTTCCCTGGACTCCCTAGACACTTCCTAAAAATAATTAGGACAACTTATTGTGGTAGTCCATGTTTTGCTTGCTTATTGAGATTCATCTTTTAAAAACAATTTGTTGAAGAAGACCTTGATCTATCATGCTTACATTGTTGTTTCAGGCTAAATCCATTGCTGATCCATTCGCTTTTGACAAGTACAGAAAGTCGAAAGTACGAGAAAAGATTGAAGAGGAGAGGACAAGTCGGGTCAAGCTCAAGGTTGGTTTCTCTATGTCTAAACTGAGACAAAATCAGACATTTCTCATACTTTTTTTTATACTGACATGTCTTTAGGTTTGAATCCTTGGCTTGTGTAGAATGTAAACAATGCATTTTCCATGCAATGCATCATGCTTGGAAATAAAAATCTTGACTCGTCATCTCGCTCAGTTTCATCTAGAACATCATCAACTGTGAGGGCAGCCATTGTTTTCGATTGTTGAAGTTGCAGTGTAGTGTAGGTTGAGGTGCTCATGCTTGCACTGTACTGTGTCAACTGGGCGAACTTGTGTGTCCAAACACTCTTTTTGTCTTCGAGTTTCTATTGTGTTTTGAACTCATTTCCACCATGTGACCTTTTCCGTAGCTAACAATAACACATCGCGAGATACTCTGTAAAGATCTAGGACGTCAGCATCTAAATTTATAGTGAAACATTTTTATTTCTAAGGCTGCACTAAGCGGGGGTGTGTCTGGCCGAGAAAAGCCGGTATGGCTCTACAGCAGGAAAGCTGGTAATAGCCAGTATGGCCAGTATGGCTCTAAAAGGGTTAATCTATGTTTTCTGTCACTCATAGCTAGCACCCATGGGTCATGTAATAACCCTTCATAGATTCACCGTATTCGTAGCAGCATCTGAATCTCCTTCAGCAGTCTTGAGAAAGCAATAAATTATTACCCTCTTGCTGTCATCAGAAGGCCCAAATGTGTACATATTTTCGTCATATCTAAAAAGAACATAATTGTCTCCATAATGCAAACCTTTGTCCCAGCACAGGTGATCACCCGCCACCGTAACCCGTGGCCATGCCGGTGGTCATGAAGTGCTCATGAGTTGTGCTGCCCAGGAGAGCATGGCTACGGATATTATGGCCTGAGATTTGATGGCCTGTGGCCGAGCCATTTTGTTTTTTATTGCATTTTTCAACATTTAGATTTTGAATTTCCACAAAATATTTTATTGAGCACATGCAGCCAATGTTATAGATCTCGATACTGCAACAAAAAATTTTTTTTGAAAATTTTTGCCATATAACATCAGCTGGTTGACGATATATCTCTTATGTTGATACTTCTGTACCGGTACCTTTCTTTTTTGTAATTTTTCTCAAATGTTTGATAATATGTGTTTAAAGTATTAAGTACGCTTTGTGCCTGTCTCTCTCAGATTCATATTTTGGATTTTAAAAAGTGAGAAGTGTGAATAGGGTGAGGCACAGATTTTGAAATGGAGGCATATAATTGATTGATGGCCTTAAGTAATAAGTATGGGGGTAGATACCCTGTTTTTCAAATGGGGGGATTTTGTATGTGCAGCATTTTGTCTATAAAAAATTGTATGATGTCTATTGAGCACGAGTGGATCTTGAATTGTTTTCCCCAGAAATTGCCTAATGTCAACAGAGAGCTAGCACAAAAGTTGATGGAGGAAGATGAGGCACAAAAGGCAAATCCCAGAAAACGTGAGGTAAGAGACAAACCCAGTGTTACTTTTTTTTTGGTAAGTGTTTTACGGCGCTCGCAATTGTGTGAGGTCATATGAGCGCACGGGACACATTAAACATTTTCAGTTGGTAGGAAATTTTGAACTTTACTCGGGTGGCGGCCGAAGCCTACTTTTATCGGCTTTGGACCACCAAGAGATCTTTAACGTGCGCATTTTGCACAGGGGACCTTTGAGATTTTTCGCCCTTGTCCGAGAAGGCTAGAGGTGTAGATCTTACCTTCTATAAGATCAGGGGTGTCGCTGAAAGACAGCAGTAAAAAGCCCAGAGGAGGGGGCAAAGTGGATTCGAAAGCAGACGACAGAACATTGTTAGACAGCAGGAAAGGATGTGAAAGTTGAAAATTTTGGAAAAAAAACTTTTCAGCACTATCTGGATTTGTGGCCTTTATCCTAGGGTAAGAAAGGCAATGATGATCTGGATTCGAACCCCGAACCTATTGAATGAGAGGCAAACACTTTAACCACTAGGCCACGAGAGCCAGCCCCCCCCCCCCCCCCCCCCCCCCCCCTCCAGGTGTTTGATGTCTGAAAAGACTGGTTTGGGGGAGAATTGAGTTTTTGCATTGGATCCCTCCCAACAGCCGTGTGATATTTGTGGAACAGTTTATTCCATTTAAATCTCGATCCTACTGAGTATTATAACATTTGATCACAGAAATCGAGCTGTGTATTCAAGAGCTCAGTATTTTCAAGAGTCTTGTATTTTAGTGTCTTTTCCTTCTCATCCTTTCCCCTTCCTAACAACCTCCACACCATTTTGTCTTGAAAAGCACTTATTTTTTATGGGAAGAGTTTACTTCTTTTAATATATATGACTTTGTCTTCTCCAGAACAAGGCTGTGAACAGCATCCTGAAAGACGACAGATTCTCTGCCATGTTCAATAACCCAGACTTCCAGATTGATCCGGAGTCTGAAGAATATCGGCTCATCAACCCTGTCATGTCAAAATTGGACAAGGCAAGAAAGAAAAGAAATGAGAAGGATGCATTGAGAAAACAGTTCAAGGAAGTTGAGGTAAAGTTCTGTCTGTGAGTGTAGAGAAGAGCACATTTATTGTGGACGTGCTGTTTTTTATATATTTAGGTTAATATTGTAGTTTTGTATCCTGTCTTTTTGAATGCACCACTCCGCAAGAACTCATCTGTCTAGCTAGATATCTGATGTCCCTGAGCGACCTAGAGACTTTAAGCTGCTGTCAGATTTGAAACGTCTAAAATGAGGAAGCTGCTATAGATTGTTTTGCTACCTATTGGATAACTCTTTGAGTTTAATAGTGCATAATGCTTTTAGTAATTACACATTTATAAAAAAGAACAGGCTCCAGATGCTGAGCATTATTTATGTGCACATTTCTCTCACTGTTTGTATTATCTGCTCACAGGGCGGAGGGTTAGCAGCACACAACTGTTGGGTAATGTTCTCTTCCAGTTGTATTTTTTTTTATGGTTCTTACTGAAGTTTCAAAGAAAAGAAGTTCATACTAGTGAATACTGTAATCCTTCACTTGCTTGTTCTCTGTGCTGGGAATGTGTTCTAAAATATGGCTAGGGCAGCCAGTTAAGTGTGTGGTGTTGTATACATTCTTGTTGGAACCATATTGTTCCAACCTGTTAATGAGTGATTTTTGGCTTTGAAGGTGGGAGTGAGTTTGTGCTTTGACTACATTTTACAGTCAAAATTGTACAAGACAGCAACCCATTTTTGTGGAAAAACCTGGGTTTTTAGGCAAAAGTGGATTTCTTGGACAGGACAGGTAAAATGAAGAAAACAAAGTATTCCTGTCTTATATCCCAACTCAAAGTGGTCCCAGGCAGTGGGCTGCTTAATGCCCATTTAAATGTCATTTGGGGGGGGGGGGGTAAAAGGGGGCATGGGGTCGTGTGTGTGTGTGCCATTGTGTGTCTGTTTCAGTGCTTGTCGCAGTGGGTGTGTCTGTGTATTGTGTGTTTGTGCCTTTCCATCTGTCTATGTTTTTGTCTGTATAATATATGTGCCTGTCAATGTGGGCCTATGTGAGTGTGTTCAAAAAGGCGGCCACTAATCTCACCAGTGATTTGTATGTGGTTAGTGGATGGTTCGTTTGTGGACTCTTACGGTTTGCACGCCTCACTCATGATCAGCAATAAATTTGGTGCAAGTTGGTCAACTTGGGTAACGGTGGAAGAGATCAATAACCTTGCCTAAGCAAGATGATAGTCAGCAGTTCATTTGTTGGAGGGGCTAACAATAATGAGACATAATTTATTGCAATGTGTCAGGCAATGACAAAATATGCATGGTTGTCTTAAACAAGTATTGAGCCTGTTTGTTGATAGAATATAGCAACTTTGGCCTCATTGTTAAGTTTTCGTCTTGGCAGTACCATTAATTAATTTAAAAAACAAAAGGGGAAAGTGGAAAGTAGTTTTTCTGATGTTTGTCTTGAACAGGTGGCTGTCAGGGCAGGTTCCGACTGTTGACTGTAGTTGTCAGCATCTGGAGCTTGTCTGTTCGCTGTTAATGCACAAAACATTTTGAGTATACCCTGAAAGAAAAAAATAAAACAATCCTTACCTGATGCTTTTATCTCTGACCTTTTGTATTTGAAAATTTTAAATTCCTTGACAAATTTTGAAACCTACAATACTTACGTTATCTTGATATAAAGACTTTTTACAAAATGTATTTTTTGTTTGTTGGAACATCCTACTTCTCAGATTTAGTTCCATGTTGTGGGGGCAGGGTTGCACACCCTGTTTTGTTAATTTAAGAAATCTGGCACAAGCAAAAGTTTTTGTTTTTGCACGATAGCAGATGTCTTGCTTTGTAGACGTGTAAGCCACAGTGTCTGTTTTTGTGCTTGCTTCTACATTCTAGAAGTGTATCTCGATCTAGATGGTACAGAGGTCTAATTGTGTGATTCTTCATATCATGCAGGGAGAGGATGAACTCGAAGGCCGTCCCAGTGATGATGAAGACAGCAGTTCTGATGATGAAAGAACATGGACGGAGGAAGTGAAACAGCAGCACCGAAAGCTACAAAGAGAAAAGAAGGCAGAGGAACAAAATCGCAGAATGGAAGAAAGGAAGCAGGCCAGGCTATTTGAAATCAAGGATGGGGAGGAACTTGGAGTCAAAAGAGATAGCAACAAGAAAAAAGAAGCCAAGTGAGTTATGAGTGATTGTGTGTGGTACAAGTACATGTTGATAAATCGAAATGATGCTTGAAAATAACACCACTTTTTACTCTCCTCCCTAAAGAAGACTTTCAATTTGTTGTGTAAATTTCATGTCCTGAAAAGTAAAAATGTTGGCTGAAAAGATTTTGAATGCTAGCGAGACTAGGAATGAATCCTATAGTAAATTTCACCCAGAGTTTTTGACTAAATAGTCTGCATAAAGATGATTTGCTGCCCTACTTTGGAAATTTCTATATTCCATCAGGTGCACAGGACATTTTTAAACAAGGTATCCAAAATAATGAAGACCCATTGATAGGTCAATAACCCAGGACGTCTTGGGACCAATTTCAACAAAACTTTCAGGAAGTAAAATTTAATCTGGTGACATACCCCCCGAGGCAGTGCCACTGACTGTAGTGTCTTTAGGCCATTCCCAAAGGGGGGACATTTCTCTTTCAAGCATAGTAGAATTGTAAATGGGCTGACTCATGTCACGCTCATAACTGTGCCTGATCTACAACAGGGAACTGCTGCTTTTTCCTTCCTGATCCTTACTATTGTCATTTTCCTCTACTTCTTTTGTATGTTTGTCACTCTTTTGTGACCCGCTATTTCCGGGGTGCCTTGATAGTCGAAGCAGACCTTGTGCTGTTGAAGCTAGAGAGGTGAGCAGAGTAAGTCTGATTCCCTGTAAAGACTTCTCTGTTGACACCCACCCCTTGGCGCTCATATGACCTTATGCAGTTGCGAGCGCCGTAAAACCCTCCACTATAAAAAAAAAATAATAATCTGGTGACAATACATTTTTCAGTATGAAAAAAAAATCAACCGACATGTTAAAAAAATATCAAGGTTTTAACGTTTCAACTAAAAATTGAGTAAAATGCAAAATTCTGCAACTTCTTAAAAATCAGCCATATTGTTCTATTTCAAAGTCTCGATTTATGCACTGAAGGTCAAATTTATGCCAAATTTATATTGCAAAATAAACTCAGGGATGGCGATTTAAATTGTCAGGTGTTGACCAGTTCTCTTCATACAAGCTCCAGTATGCCACTGGAAATTTTGAATTACCCTCTTGCATGTGTCTGGGTCAATTCTTTGGACATCCTGTTCAACATTGAGTTTCATTTGTTAGATATTTTCGTGGGTTTTCATAGACTCTTCTGTCAAAATACCCCAAATACAACAGCTTAACCAATTGAAGGGGCTCAAGTTTAGGCAGGGTTCTCGCGGCCTCCTTGAATTCAAGGAGTCCATGAAAACTGCTTGAATTTGTTTACAAGGAAAAATCTCCTTGAAAACTCCTTGAATTTTGCCAGATCGGACAGGAACACGTGTACAGGGTGACTGCCAGGCCCAGGGAATCCCGGGGGCCCCTGGAATTACCCAATAATTGGAGAAAAAAAATCGCCGAGACCCGGAATGCAACGGGAATTTGCTGAAATCTGTAAATTGCCCAGTGAAAGACTTGGGAAAATACATAAACGTTCTCGAATATTTGAAAACCAAATCCGATAACGTCCTTGAGTCCATTTTTGTGGGTCACAGTTGTGATATATATATTCATTCGGCGTTTCCCGGCCTGAGAGTACGTTACACGCGCACAGGCGGTTATGGCGGCAAAAAGTGGAAGTGTATGTGTGATACCGAAGCTCGATTGGGAAAATCAAGATCTACTTTCGCTTTCGTTACCACCTAGAAATTTGCCGGTAGGACCTATAGTTGTCTGATAGCGCCATATTTGTAACATGCAGGTTCTGCATTACATACGCTGTGTCGCCATGAAAATAATAAGTTTTTCCTGTGCTGTCACTTGTGAAAAAAAACAGAAAGAAAAAGAAAGCTTCTTGTCGGGCTCGCCTTCGTGACCGGTCATTGAACCAGTGCGTTTTCGTCACATCGTGAGTATCGGCGATGGTTGAGGTCACCAAAGTTCATGCAAATTCTGAGCGCTGCGAAGTATAGGACTCGGGAATGGGGGGATTATTGATTTTTTTTTAAAAGACGCACGCGGGGGAGGGGGGTGGGGTGGGGTTGAAGGCAACACCGGATGACAAAAACTGAACTTGGAAGCAGATTTTACATTTCAGAATTTTGATTACTAGATCTAGATCTACTATCTAAAGCTCTCTGCAAAGCGCGCGTTGGGGCAGGCCTTGTGTGGAATCGGGATCAGTCATACTCAAACTTTGTAAGCCGTCTTTTTGTAACTAAAGGGTTCCTGTTTTATTGATTGTACATGTGTATTCTATATAATTTTAACTTTCTATTCAAGATTTGCAGATTTTCAGAGTCACTGCATCTTGCCCTCCCACAGTTCTTACACCTCTCACACAGAATAGGTCTACTTGAGCCATTCATGTTATAGCTCTACTTTGAGTTAGAGCAATAATTTTTGTCTTTCACGTTTATAATATGAATCATGATACCAAGACTGGTTCTTGACAGTGGATATTCTGGTTCTAGGCCTTTTCTCAGGCTCAAAGCAAGATTTTTTTTTTTTTTATAGTTAATATAGACGAATATGATGAGGGGGAAAATATAAATAAGTAAGAACAGACTGAAATACCTAAGTCACAGTACCCCAGTACCACACTGGCATCATGTTGTTGACTGGATATAATGTACCTACATGCGTGCGTGCCACGTGTGTGTCTATATATTATATTATTTGTTTATAATATATAAATGGAGCAAACACTGTCATTGTTATGTAATATGCCCATGGAGAATGGATGAGCCCCCCACCCCGGCCTGGAAAATTGAGAAGGCGGGTTGGCAGTCACCCTGGAAACAGTTTTTATAGGAAAATGGAAACTATTATATGGTTCCTTTCGGACAAGTGTAGGCGTTCGAAAATAGGCTTTCGTCATGAATTTTTTGACCGAATCTCCTTGAATTAAAAAAATTTCTCCTTGAAACCTCCTTGAATTGATGGGAAGTTCATGGCAGGAACCCTGTTTAGGGGAAGGAGGTGGTCATTCATTTGTTAACTTTCGACTCATAAGGCGTTCCACAAACCTGTCTTGCGACCATTTAAGGGCCACTCTTGATGAACAGGGTGTGGCCCCTTCCAACCAGAGCCAGACCTCTAAAGCATGACACTTTCTGCTCCCCAAACTTCTCTAAAACTTTCTCAGCATGGTGAGATATCCACCTGAAGTGACTATCGTGGTTTTAATGTCCATATCCGGAAACAGAAAGGGACGATCACACCCCTGTAGCTTTACACTTTTGACAAGTGAAGTTTTGCATTTTACTGGTTGAATTTTTTAAAACATGATATACAGTCAAACCTGCCCTGACGGCCACCTCTATAAGACGGCCACCTGTACAAACGACCACTTTCCATTCCCCCCCTTGCGTCCGGTTTTTCCATATAATTTAACTGTGTAAAACGGGCACCTGTCCAACGCGGCCACGGCCACCATATTTTAACACACAACCCCTATCACATTCAGCAATAACACCTGTCTTAGACGGCCACCTTAGTGACTCTATTACGTTTTGTCATAAATTGTGCTTTGGCCCCAGGCGTTGTGGGCGAGCTGTCATAATAATTCAATCACCTGTCGTTGTTGTTAGGTAGTCCCTCCAACCGATCATGTTGTGTAGGCCCCTCCCTCTGTTGACCAATAGCTACCAATTTTCAGCTACTGGTGAGGTAAGCGTGTGATCCCTCATAACCCATAAGACCTGCCCAGAACTCATACAGAAATCGTAAGTGAGATGAGTGGTCACTGTTTACCCAGTCTGTAACAAAGTAACAATGGACGTTGACGTGAACTTGTGACAGAAGCGTTGCTCGTTCTCCGAGTGGTGGCGACCCATGTGTTTGTTTTAACATGGCACTCGGTCTTCCTCGTCCCATACATTTCGTTTTGTCACCCTTGTGCAAAATGAGCAACAAAATAAAAATTACAAACAAAATACAAACCAACAACAACAACGACAAAAACAACAACAATGCGGCTACTTTCGATTGGGACCTCAGACGGGAATGGTTTGTTTTCTTCATCTTTATCAGTCCTGCCTTAGACGGCCACCTGTCTTATACGGCCACTTTCCTCCTTGACAATGGGTGGCCTCTTACACAGGTTTGACTGTATCTCCAACCTGTTGCTTGATTTTCTTCACATTTACAAAATTGACGTCCTTCTGGGTGAATTTAATTTGTTTTAAGTTTTGTTAAAATTAATGATAAATGCTGCGATGATCAAGTTATTGCCCTTTAAGTGGGACTTCTTTCTTTTAGACATCCTGTATGTCTGTTCTTGTTCGTTTGTGTTTGCTCTTGTCTCTTTGAAAGATTTTATTTTTCTGATGTGTGGTTGTCAATAATTCGTGTTTATTTTGTTAAGGAAATCACTTGCTGATCGGCTCAGAATAGCTGAAGAAGATGGCGTTACTCGTGCGGAAGGGTCTCTTGGAAACAGGGAAATGACGTTTTCTCTGAAGAAGGTGAGTATCTATGGATTTATGTTTTTGCTCCACATTAGAATTGTTGTAGTGGCAAAAATTGGCTAGCTTGTGTATTTTTCGAGTGGAGCTGGTGACAATTCTCTGATTGTTGTATATTTTTGTAATATTATGTTTTAAAAGTACAGTCGAACCTGCCTTAACGGAAACCTGTCTTAACGGAATCTCCCCACTCCCCCCCTTGATATATTCCTCTTTAATTACCTGTATAAAAGGGAAACCTGTCCAACGCGGAAATGGAAAGAAAAATCGGGTCCCTTCCGATGGTTTCACCTGTCTAAGACGGAAAATGCTTTGCCCGCTCAACCCTGATTTGAAACAAAACCCGCAAGTTTCGTTCCTCCGGCTCTTAACTTAACACTATGGCCATGCCGCTGGGCAAGGAAGAGGAGTAGGGGCAAGGAAGAGGAGTAGGGGTGAAATTTAGGGGTTTCCCAGGGAGTTTGTTTTTAATTGGTCAAACAGTGGTCCTATGAAAGGCAAGCACTATGGTAATTGGATAAGTAAGACTGACGCATGTCATTATCAGACAGGATAGCAATTGCGAGGTGTGAAGTTTGGCCACTGTTTGCCGATCGGACAAGCGATCCTTGATCCCACCGGCTGGGCTTTTGAACCCCCCCCACCAACCTCCATCTCCCCCTGAATTCCCCTGTCTAAGACGGAATTTTTTTCTGGTTCCCCTGCGATTACGTCTTACGCTACACAAGTTCTACTGTATGAGCCAAATTTCTCTTGATATTGAAATGTGAGGCGTGCTGACAAAATGAATTACTTCTCGCAATCCAAGAATGGAGATATCGGCTGAAAATCAACACAGGGGTCAGATTTTCAGATTTTCAATTGACCCCATTTTCTTCATATCATGTCTACCGTTTCTTTTATTATTCCAAACTTACAAATTGTTCAAACTCCTCCTATAAAGTTGATGTATCAATTTCCATAAGGCTGAAATCTGAGAAATAACTCATTTTGTCAGCACACCTCACAAATGTTTTTTCTTTTGCTAGGAGCCTCATCTGCTTTCATTCAAAATCAAGCATAGGATCCGTTTCGTAATAGTTTTATTTTTTGGTGCTGCCTTGGTTTATCTGATTCAGATAATGTGTCAACTCAATGGACTAGACCTGAATGCATGTCTGAGTGTGACTACCTTTTAAATTACCTCTCCAGAAGCAGATTACTGCTCTATCTAGGGGCTAATCTTGCTTTGGTACAGACATTTAAGAAATTCTCTGACTCATTAGACCTCTTATCATTGGTGCTGAAGGAAACTGTTACTCATGATTGAGCTGTCTTGATGGTGATTCATGGTACATTTGCATTATATAATGGTCCAAGATAATAAAGGTGTCGGAATTAGAGGTATTTTGTTGTGCTCTGACAAGGGCCAAACATTTCTTACAGTTGTTGTGGACAGTCAACTTTCAGACAAATGTTGAGAGAAGGTAGTTGCTTCAGTGGTAATCAAGCAATTTGATGATCATTTTATGGACACTAGAATTGTCCCGTGTGATGCGTGAAGACAAAAACAAATTCTGACATAACATAAATTTATTTGCTCAGTGGGTGTATTCCAGTGTCCTGATTTACGAGGTACATTTTAAAAGTAAAAAGTTTTCTTCTAGCAATATTTTAACCAATATTGGATTATTTACTTTTCATGACCTTGTTAAAACAGTGCTAAAAGCTTGCACTTAAATATGATACAAATCTGAGATGGTAAGCTTTTCCCTTACAAACCTGTGAATCTGTGTTCCTTGTTGTCACATCATGTCCCGAGGGACAATTTATTGATTCTGTGGGATAAGTTCAATACATGCATTTAAAGGAACTTTTCTTTTTTAAATTTTCTCCCGAAGGGCAATCAAAACTATAAATCACTAGCATATGATAGCCAAGATGAGTTGTTCTGTAAAATACCCAAGACAACTTAGTTCTTTGTGACAGTACATAGGGCTATTGATTTTCTAGAATGTGTTCAATCCATGCAATTAATGGAACTTTTCTTTTCTTGCATTTCTAAAATGAAATCTATGTCAGTGACCAGCAAACAATTGCCAAGATCAGCTGGTTTGTGAAAAACTCTGTCTCTCATTTCAAGAAATAAAGTGTGACTTCATATTGAAAGTCAAATTTGTCAATAATAAATAATAATAATACTAAATTACACTTTTATTCGCATCAGAAGGGCACTTTGTTTTACAATGGCAAACATACATACATAATTATAAATACTACATACATGCATAAATACATACATAATACACACTATTACACAAATACAGAACAGTTTACAAACAATGCCACTGTCGGTCACCACTGTGCAGCGCCCTGAAATTTGAGCTAGGGTTGTCGTGTCTTGCTCAAGGACATACGCCAGTGACCACCCATCTGATCCCCGTGTCACCGACACTTGCTTGACATTGCTTGAGTCAAAACTCACTACTCACTTAGCCACTGGAGCCCCCAAGAATGAGAAATGAATGGTTTTTCTTTTTGATCACAGCATAAGCATATGAGAACTGTTTAAAATCAATGAAAAGCTAGATTCTGAAACCATGGAACAAATATTTCATTGGCTGAAACCATGGAATAAATACTTCATGGTCAAACCACTGACATAAATTCCTCAGAACGGTGGGACGCAATTTTTTTCAATTACATTGTAACGAAAACTGTGGACTGGTAACTGAATTCTGTTTTGATATGTGAATTCATTATTTTTAAAAACTTGTTGGATCACTAAAATTTATCAGTGTTGATGTTTTTGTTAAGTTGTCACAACTATGTTTTCTGGTCCTGATGTGTGTGATGACACATATCCCGAGGGCCATACTTTTTTGAGTACCATATTGTACCAAACGTGAGCTAGTTTTCAATTTGAAATGATGTTCTCAGTATTTTTTAATTTTCTTTCATTGCTGTAACCAAATATGGGGTAGGTAAATATGTGAGCTGGTCTGAGGACATGCTTGACCTTGAACCGAGATATCGGCAAAAATAGTCGGTGTGGTTAATACTTGTTGATTTTTTAGTTATTATTATACATACCAGGGGATTCCTCAACCATTTTACAAAATAATTCAAGAGCTGTTTCTTGTAAAAACCACTTCAAAACATCTTTTCTGAATTTATTTTCCATTTGCATTCAGGTATTGAAAAGCAAATGGTGTAAATTTGAACACGTTTTTCTCAGTTCTTACTTTTCCACATTTTTTAAAGCTTCAAAATGCAATTCAGCATTTCATCTTAACATGGCCTTGTGAATATGAAATCTCCATTTTATCTTTCTTTCATTATGCTGCTTTTTTTGTCTTCTCGTTCGTCTGTGTGTCTTTTCAGTTGTTTTTTTTCTTTCACCCACCAGGAGAAGAAAGTGAGTACAGCTGTTCAACAGAGGAATCTTCATCAGTCAGAGCGAAGGAAGCTGAAGAGAGCAGCTGGAAGTTTGTTAGAGAAACCAAAGACTAAGTTTTGGATGGGGAAGAAAGTGAAATGAGCAGAGTCTGTGGAAGAAAAAAATTGTATGTGCGAGTCACAGTGAGGAGTTAGATTGTCGTGAGTTGTATATAGATTGTGTGTGTGTGTGTTATGGAAAAGTACTGAGGATGCTCGTTTGTTGGAATGTAGGGTGAAACTGAATGTGGTTTGCTTGGTTACTGTTAAGTGTAAAAAAGTACAAATTCCTCATAATGAATATCTTTAAAGTGCCCTGTGTGACAAGAAAAGAGGTTAACCAGAAATTAAAGGTGAAGAGCTCTGCATTTGTTTTCTCTTGTATTGAGCATTAAATCCTTCACTGTAGTGATATATCTGGCCCTACAGGAAATCGGGGTCCTGCGGCTGCAATTGTGGCTGCGTTTTTCGTCGAGTTCCGCAATAAACCCACAATTTTTTGCAATTTTCGCAATTTCTTGCAATTTTTGGCAAAAATACACCATCGCTTTAATTTTAACAGAATTTTTAATACGAAATGGTGCGAGCACAGAGCCAATAGGCCTACGTAAATCATGGTATCGCCCCAGCTCAAGCCTACTGAGCGTATTCTAAAAGCTATAACAGGAAATTCAGGCCGGAATGCATCATGTACAACACGAACTGAGACATAGGCTAGGCCGAGAAGGTGGCCTTCTCTGGGCTAGGCTTTTATCTAATGTGTGTAAGCATGCGCGTGTGATAAGAAAGTAGGTGGGTGCAGGTGTGAAGTGTACCTGAGTGTGTGTGCGTGTGAGTGCACGCGCGTAAATATTGTTCGTACATGATGCATGTGTCTACAAACATGGTAACCGGGCACCTAGTCTCAGTATCTGCGTACACGGTAACCCACCCGAATGAAAATTAACCAATATAATTTGTCCTGTGCTGTCACTTGTTGAAATAAAAAAAAAGAAAGTTATACAAGCGCCTTGTCGGGCTCGCGATCGTTACCGGTCAGTGAACCTGTGCTCTCACATCACATTGTGAGTACCGGTTGGGGTCACCAAAGTTCATTCAAAGTCTGTGCGCTACGAAGTATAGGGCTCCGGAATGGGAGAACTATTGATTTTTTTTTTTTTAATGTACAGTCAGGGGAGGGCTGGAGTTGAAGGCAACACAGGAAGACAAAAACTGAACTTGGAATTCTGAACTGCCCAGTTACCGTGTACGTGACACTGAGACTACGTGCCTGGTTGCCGGTTACCGTGTACGTAGACACTGAGGCTATGTGTCCGCGTACCGTGTACGTAAACACCCCGATGTAAAACGTCTTAAGCTGCGTTCACACGGGAGTGGGTGCTTTTGAAATGGTCTTGATTTACATAAGTACATGTATTACTATTGTTTATAAATGGGGGGAAAAAATAGCTGTATATTACGATTCGACTTAGTGTTAAAACAATACCAACCGGTTTTAAAACAGAAAATATCTGAAATAGATCTAAATACAGATTACCGGTGTATCGAAGGTTTCAAGAGGAAAATAGAACAGGATCTGATTTGATTGGAGCATAAGCTTATTTTGTATTTAGAGGTTGTTTCGAAAATCTCTCGTCAATTTTTCTGTTTTTTATAGACTAAACCTCATACTTCTAGATTTTTGCATGAACCAAGTACCCGGTACGTACTAAATTTGGTCATATTTTATGCCTTCATTTAAAAGTTATTACGAAAACCGATGGTTCCGTTATTTTGTGTCATGCGTTATCATATTATATTTGGTCGATAACTTTATTGTTAACGTACTCGTGTGTTGTTACTAGTAAATGTTGTTAATAACATTTGATGAATTTGTATTGTGGGTCATGATTTTTTAAAAGGCTGAGCTGCTTTTATGCTACGGGTACTCAAACTTGTCATGTTTTTTAAAGTAAAAATGTTAAGCCCGTAGTAATGCGCCTAGGATGGGAAGGTTGCAATTTTTTGCAATTTTTAAGCGGTTTACCTTGCAATTTTTCTATTTCAAAAATGCAGTTTTCCGTGGGGCCAGATATATGCTGCCTTCCTTGTCCTACTAGAACTTGTCCATTCAGCTGGGTAGTGCCAAGCTTGATCTATTTCTATATTTTACTTACCTTTGGAAGAAACTTCTTCCAAGTAGGCCCTATGATGCAAACAAGGTTATTATTACAGTAACTTAGTCTCTGCCTAAACCCATGCCATGTAAGGGCACACTCCACTCAAACGTAGGCTATTGTTATATGACAGTTTCTTAAAAACTATATAATTTACACTTACAAATGCACGGTCACTTCCTCTAAGCGCTCACTTTGATGCATGAAACACGCTGACAGGTAAACCTTGACGAAGGGAAATTTTGGCTACAACTTACACAGCTTGCATAAGACAATAAAACAAGTCCAGACATGCGGATATTTGATGAGATTGCCCCTCATGCAGAACAGAGAGTGATGTATAGCATTTTCACACCCAGCGGTCCTCGGACACATGGGTCAAGGATTGGGTGAGCGATATGTTTGGGAAGGATGTCTGAAATGTCTTATGATTGGTCACTCGAAATGCTTCTTTGAGAGAAGGTTTCTCACTGGTGTTTGGGTGACTGTAATGTTTAGTAAGGCCTGTGAATATGATGTGCAACACATGTGAATGCTGTAGAGCACAAGTTAGGCCTATAGGATTAAAGAGCTTAAAACATACTTGTTCATTGAATCATCAGAGAAAAGTGTCTCTCTCAGAGTGTCTGATGTTATCCATGCATTTATTGTGTTGCAATAGATGATTGACAGGCATTTTGGAGTTGTCACTCTGAAAGCCGCTTGACTGAATGCTTTTCCCTATGGCTATCATTATCACCAACAGCTTCCTCTTATCTGTTTCCGACATGTTAGTCAGGGCATATAACGTGACCTCAGTGCTTTCTTGTCTTATCTCTATTTTTTTAAACAATGAAAACGTGAGATCTGCTTTAGCTCACTCTTTGTTATGAACTGTTTTCACTGTTATTAATAATGGAGATACGACAAAAAAGCACTGGGGTCGCGATAAGTAGAATGGGTCGGTCTTTTTGCTCTTTTCCACCACTAATTCAACGCCTTCTGTAGCCTCAACCCCGATCTGGGTATTCTTTATAAAACAGTCATGTTTTGGCATCTTTTCGGCAAAAATGACCCCACTCCCCCCCGTCAAGGGAGGTACTCCTACAGAATACCAAAGAAATGAGATGGCAACCCCCCCCCCCCCCCATTGAACAGGTTCACATAATCTCATGCTATGTGTAAATGCACCCTTAGGAGCACGGTGCGTTTAGGCTGAGACTACTGTATAAGAAAATCTTCAAATCTTCATATATATATAGAATCAGAATTTCAATTTGGCCCTGATTGTGTTCACCCATTGTGTGTTAGGAAAAGTATGTCTTTGGTTACAGTTTCATTATATGGCCATTGTATTTTGACTTGCAAATGTTTGTTTTTATCCGTACATTCTCAACTTTCATGATGGGAATAACAATAAAGGACTAATTTTCTGCAATATGAGACTTCTGCTTGCATGTTATTTTAGTGAATGTTTATTGTTGTGCTGACATTTTTTAATTGGAGCTTTACAAGCTTTGTAAATTGTATTATCCTACATTTTGCTGTTCAAGCTCCAATGCCTTTTCTTACCTGCAACTTTTCTCTGCCTACACTCTCTATACAACTCTCCAATAATGCTTAACGATCACGTTGGGATGTCAGCAATGAGGCCAGGAGAGAGAGAGGGGGGGGGGGAGGGCAGACGAACAAAGAGAACAAATTAGTGAACGAGAGAGAACCCATTGGCTGCTTGCATTGAAATTGCAGCTGGCTACAACAAACTTTATTGCGTGACAATAAAACTGCAGTTAATAGGGTCAAAGCTTTGTACTAGGTACGGTACACTTTCAATTTGGCCGGGGGAGATTTGAAAGGAAATAAAAAACAGCCAAACTTGGCCTCCAGCCAGCTGCCAATTGTATGACTGGTTTGTTATTATTATTACTGTGGAAACCTGATATAACAGGGATGGTGGGAGTAGAGAAAATGTCCTGTTATATCCGATCCCTGTTAAATCAGAAATGCAAAGGAAAGTAAGCATTTGTGGACTAATCCAGCTGTACTTATTCATGGGTAGTTTCCCTTGTCACAAGTACCCACGAACAGGGGTTTTGGCACCAATTTTCTCCTTGCCTCCTTAAACCACATCAGAAGAGCTTGGTCCACGGCATCTGCATCGGGTAGTCTCATCTTCTTTCGATCCAGAGCAAACTTTTCATTAGAGTATGCTGCCACTATCTTCTCTCTATCCTTGATAATGGTGTGAATCGACCCTTGTGGAATATCGAACTGACGACAAATCTCTGCCAGTGGAGCTTGTTTTTTGTCAACAGCCTGGATTTTTTCGTATTTTTGTCAATTGAAAGGCATTTTCTCCAGCGCTTGACATCGTCGGTGACACATTATGCGTGCGTGTTGCTAGGTTTCAGGCGAGATCGAGGTCTGCAGCACACCGCAGCCCTCTCTCGCTTCACACGCTGCGTGTGCTTGCAGTGGCATGGCTTGCGTGGGCTTGCTCCATCACTGAGTTACTCTCTCTCTCTCTGTCTCCCTGTCTCTCTCTCTCTCTCTTACTTTTTACTCATTGTTAACGAGCCATTGTCCCTGCTATAACCGGTTATGCTCCGATGGGGCCCTGTTATTGCCGATAACTTTTAAAAGAGACAAAGAGTAGGAAAAAACGGGGATTTAAAAAATCCCTGTTATTACCGGATCCCTGTTATTACCGGGCCTGTTATATATGGTTTCCATTGTATTATTATTATTATTCATTACGATTAAGCGCAGGGAAACAAAATGAAATGGTAATGGTGAACATTATCTACATGACTACATGTCATCATACAGGGAGGAATGTAAATGTTACAGATTTTATACTCTTCTTGTGAAAAATAATAAAATCAGTAAATACATTTTTAAAGTTGAAAAAGGTTTCTCCTACATAATTTTACTGAATATGTGATGCATTTATGTCAGACTCTTGCGCGTGTAATCTTTGTTGTACGGTACATTAACTTTGCACGAAAACACATCAACAGTTTATATTCACATCACATACGTAATGAGTGATGCTGATTTGACTTCCATGTAAACAGAAAAAAGTTTTCCAGGTAAAAATCGGAAAGCTATTGAGAAATGTGTTGTATGAGCAGTTAAGGTAGGTACCAATACTTCCCAGGTTTTATATTAATATTGCGTGCATTGGATATAAAGTCCAGCTGGAGTTGTACATGTAATTAGTTGCCTATTGTTTTTCCTTTTTGTCAAGCAAGTGCACAAGACAGATCTATGATAAGGCAAGGCTGGCCACAATTTGTTTCTGGTTTCTAGTCTCTACCAGTCTATACCACCAGTTAAAATGGCTGTCAGTGCCATTTAGGACATTTACACCCCCCCCCCCCCCTCCCCCCACCAGCCATGCTGCACAACGAACCTCACGCTCATCCCAAGGAAGGTGGAATAATGGGAGTCTGACTAGTTTTTGACAAGTTTGTAAACCAGAATCTTACTGCTGGCAGACAGTATACTGACCACAACAAAAAATCTGATTTTTCCATCATGAGAACAGACGGAAGGACTGACAGACAAGTTCAGCCAATATTCTTCTTACACTGTGACAATAGACTAACTAAAGGTTGGCTGATGTCCAAAAACTGTCAGTTTCTTCTGTATTTATATGAATCTGAGTTAAGCAAAAGCACATTAACACAATGGTCATGAGTAAGATCTACCATTGGCATCAGATGAACCATTGGCATCCCCTCCTCTGACTATAAGACACTGCTGTTTTCCATTCAGTTTGTTTGAGTAAATAGAAGCACATCAACACAAAAATGGTAATTTAGATCATGGAAAAAGTAAGAAAAATAGAAAATAAACAAGTACAACCACCAGTGGCGCCCAACAACTGCCCACAGTTCAGATGGGTTGGTTGCTGCTTCTGTGATTACTTAACAACATGATCCATAACTTGTATCAGCCACTTGTTTGTTACTGTCAATAGTAAAAAATTTTGTTCTTGTTCTTCCTAGCAATCAAGTCCGGACGTCAGTGGGTGTGACTAGCATAAATATACTTTGAGAAGGACAATCCAGTCTCTGTGTCTATGTAAATATGGCACACATACATTGGCTATTGCACAATAGTCCCACAAGCCAAGATGAGAGGCTGAATACCAAACAGCAGAAGTGTTCCCCAGTTTCAAATGTCATGGAGACTGCAGATTTAAAACCCAAAACTGTGGATCTAGAGGGTTAAAAAAAAAATTAAACATGGAGTGAGGGCATTCTAAAACCATGAACTAGAACAACCACCAGTGCACTAGTGTCCCTTCACAATAATTTGCATTTCCTGAATGAGGAACTAATATGCATGAACACTGTGGAAGTAATAAAGAAAAAAACTAAAACAAAATAAAACCATGTAATACAGGTATAAACATTTTCTCCACTTTTATTTTCAACAGATCTTTAGCATACACATTCTGACGCTATCACAAATGGTTGATGTCAGATCTCAGTTATACAAACAGATGAAATGCGTAAGTCCTAAGGTAGTAATTTGAAAATATGCATACTTTATATGGACTATATATGTGTGTGTAAAGAAAGCACTAAAAACTGAATTTTGACATATATTTTTAAGATAAGGAAGGTTTCTCATGAAAATTAAATGCTGAGGAAATTAGTTAAAGAATTTTTCAGATTCTATACTGTCTAGTAGTTTTTGAGATACTGCACATTTAGTGAAGTAGGGTAAAAAGATATGATTTTAAGCCATTTATAGCTTAAGAGAAGTCACGGTGAATATTTTAGTATGTAACATGTTGGGTTCAACTTCACTTGAAGAGCTGGGCTGAGGGAGAGGAGTCAGACCCAAAGTATTAATCTTAGTCTCTTATTTAAAGCCATTTTCACTTTTTAAAAGAATACCCTACCAATACTACCATCAAAATGATAAATTCTTTCAATTCATGGTTCAGAAATGGCAGAACTATTGTTCTTTTATGGAAACACATTTTGGTACAAAAAATTTAATTTTGTTTTATTGGCCTTTAGCTCGAAACGATATAGAGCTAGACTGACGTTTCATCCTTTTCTTCAGGTTCACACAAACATATATATGGAGAACGCCATTCGCAATGTATATCAGGCTACGCACGTAGTCATGTTATTAGCATATGATCCTTAAGCAGGTAAACATATCACGGGAGGTCAATGAACAGTCCATGAAGACAAATCTATTTCTCTAGGTCACCTGACAAAATAAATACGTTTTGGCCTTTAAAAAGAGAAGACAGCTTGCTAGTAAAACAAAACCAAACAACTAAAAAAAAAAAATAGCAAGAGCGATACAAACATTTATGATTCAGCTGTCACCCAGTGTTCAAATTTTTCAGTTTACTATGAATTTCTACCTTCTTTGTCAAAAATATTCTATTTATCATTTATCACTCTCTACTACTTAAATGACAAGGAAAATGAAACATACAACAAATGCTCATTTTTTTCAATTTTCAAACAAGATGTGTGTTGCGTTCAATCCTTCACTGTCATTCCTTACTAATAAACTCAAGCACTACCCAACATTCAGACTTTTAAACTTTTATTTCTCTAGCCGACACAGAGGGTTTTCGTGAACCATTTTCAGGTTGACTTTAGGGCCAACAAGATCACGGATGTTGTCTATTCCATACTTGATCATTGTCGGTCTGAAAAAGAATAAAAGGAAAATGTTTAAATGAGTTGGAATTGTATCAAAAGACCCAAGACAACCGTTCAGCTACAGCTAGAGCACATGAGGCATTTTCACTTAACACAAGCATGACTGACTCCTGGATCAAAATGGTTGAAAAATCCTTGCACTAGTATGATCTGCAATTACCTTGAGACCAGATACTTGCACAAATATGCCCATCAACTGATCCAGCCACAAATGAGTCAGACTCAAGTAATAAATAAAAGGATGAACAAAAAGACTAAACCTGACCAAACGTCAAGCATCCTTCACAGCTGTTAGGCTTCCCACAAAGTATCTACAGAGAGATACAGTAAATGAATAATTTTAATGGACTCATTGATTGAGGAAAATCGTAGAAGAAAGTTTACACTCATCATTATTACATAACGGCTGTGAAACGAGAATGTGAGACTAATTCTCACAATAATTTAATTTTTCTGGGATCAAAAAATGTTTGCTGAGCGGTAATTTGTAATATTCTATGACAATGTAACACAGTTGACTACTGATGAGTTAATGTTGTCCAGGAGTGAAGTAAAGATGAAACTCATCTGAAGTTCAACTTAACTGTTGGGAGCACAAAATCCTGTACCCATCGTTTTATGCAAAATATATTCTGAAATTATGCAAACTGAGCCCAAAAATGTGAAATTATGCGATTCTGTTTATTTTAACAAAGAGTGATAAAGGGAAATAACCAGAAATTATGCAAAAAATGATCAAATTTTGCTAAATTATGCGGGGTGCATAAAACCACGGGGACAATTTATAAAGGGACAAAATATTTTCCACTACTCATGTTTTAATGTTCTTTCTGTGATAAGAATGGCAGAAACAGGAGCAATATTTATTCACTTCATTAATCACAGGTGCTTGTTCGTATGAGAGAGAGGGGAAGGAAGAGAGAAACGGGGCGGGAAGAGAGAAAGGGGGGGAGGGAGGGAGAGAGAGAGAGAGAGAGGGAGGAGAGAGAGAGAGAGAGAGAGAGAGAGAGAGGGGGGGAGGAGAGACAGAGAGAGGGAGGAAAGAGAGGGAGGAGAGAGAGGGATGAGAGAGAGAGAAGGATGAGAGAGAGAGAGGGAGGAGAGAGAGAGAGGGAGGGGGAGAGAGAGAGGGAGGAGAGAGAGAGGAGAGGGGGGGAGGGCAGCAATACTAACAATACTAACGTAACCTAAAGGCCTACAGACTATGTTGTATTCCTGAGTATGGTAAAACTACCACTTTTTGCCATTTTGTTTATTCTCACAATGCACAATGTATGTTGTGAACAAAGTTTAGATTTCTACAGCTCCTTAAAAAATTAATGTTATGGCAAAAAGTATGCTTTACACAGGTACGTTCTAGACATTAACTTTTAAAGAGTACCGTACAAATAGTCTACTGACAGGGACTTCAATTAGACTGTGTATTACAGCCGAGAGCATGTTTTCAGCCAAGAACATTTCACATGTACAATGTACCTTTCATGGGAAACAGACAAATTTGGCATACAGTTACTTTGATAAATGTAAAAAAAGGAATAAGTGTTCAGAACCGAAAAACAGATCAACTTCAACAACAATCAACTCAAGAGACACAAATGGAGTAGAGTGTATTTAGAAATAAACCCCAACAAAACAATCCAATCCTCATTTCATAATTATGACTACACCTTCCTTCTGAAACCTTGCAACCTAAACAAATTTATCAAGCTATTGCTAACAAAACCATGCCCACCTCAAAGGGAAAAGGTCATTTCCTTTTATTCTGAGAACAACACACTGAAAGATTACACAAGTCAAAAATAGCTCTAAACAAAATCAAGGTATAATTCATCATCACCAACCTTTCCAAGGACAGACCCCATGCGATCACCGTCACATCATTTGGCAAGCCCATTGGAAGCAACATCTCAGGGCGGAAAACTCCAGAGTTTCCAATTTCTACCCACTTCTTGAGGCCTAAAAGTAAAATGGAAACAGATGAGAGAAAGAGATAGAATCTATTTAAATCACATGTACTAACTTATGACACTCCAGCTCAGTTTGAAAAAACTATAAACCTCCCAAAACATTCAGCTATCCATAAACAGCAGAATATTTGAAAGAACAGCCCGCACCCACTTAACTTGTGCAAATGTGTAATTTCAAAAGAATAATAATATTATATTATATTTCAAGGCAGTACATGAACAGAGTAAAAATGTTGTCTTAGTAAGACAGTTTTTTACTGCACTTGCAACAAAATAAATAAGGTCATATAAGTGCGGAACATTAGAGGTGTTACAAGAGAGTAACAAACACAAAAAAGGAGGGGAGATAATGACGATAGATGTTTGAAAGGAAAGAAGAAGCAAACCACACCAGAACATCTGCCATTCTTTGAAAATATGAATATAGCTCACTCAAGCAAAACCAACTTCAGTCTGCACTTATTTTTTTTAAAATGGATCATGGGGAAATGAGGACTTTGTGCCCTCGCAGAGACAAAAATAAACCTTTTTTTAAAAAAAAAATAGTAGAGGGTTTTACGGCGCTCGCAACTGCATAAGGTCATATGAGCTCCAAAGGGTGGGTGTCAACAGAGAAGTCTTTACAGGGAATCAGACTTAGACTGCTCACTAGTGCTGGATCCTGCTCGCCAAATCTAGGAGTGGCGCTTCACGATTCAGTCGGCTTCAATGAATCGCGAGTACACAAGCACTCGTGGAACACTAAGTCTCGCATTCGTTGTATGCCTCAAACGGAACAGTATCATATTAACGCCACTTCGCGAGTCCCACTCTTGTTGTCCCGCCATCCTCTCGCCCCCCACCATTCGTTGCGCTGCTCGGCGGCGCGGGGTCATGGGGTGATCGGGCGCAAATTGTGTGAATTTTTACCTTGCACAGCTGTGTCACAGTTTTGTTTTGTTTTGTTTTTGTTTTATTTGCATAAGGCCAAGTTTTTTTTCAACCAATAAATAACCAAAAATAAATGACACATACATAGAATGATTAATTGGTCTTTATCTTAACAAAAGAAAAGAATGTAAGCTTAGGTTACGGTTACATAAATGCAAAACAATCATAGATTTATGTTTAAATGTTATACATGGATGTTTTTTAATTTAAGATCTGAACACCCCCCCCCCCCCCCCCCCCTACACACACATACACACACAATTTTTAAAAAATCTTACATGATGTTGTATCATCTTATCATAAATGCAAGGTACATGCATAGATAACAATATACAGAAAGTAATGATGACTTATCAGATGAAGCCGTGGATAAGGTGAAGAGAGAATATCGTGAGCAATAACGTTGTTGCCCAAGACAGGTAAACATGTAAACATAGTTAATAAATGTAGAATCTAAAAACTATCTCGAATTTACTCTCTAACATTGTTGAGGAACAAAATCATGTTGATATTTTTTGGTTTCAGAGCTGCCCTTCTGCAAGAAATTAGTTCCCCAGCTTTTGAAAATAGCCTCTCGCTGGGTACTGATGTGGCTGGAATTTCTAAAACGTCTTTGGCGATGCGGGCAAGTCTTGGAGTTGAGATGGCGTAGTCCCTCCACCAGTCGAGTGGATTCCCATCTCTTGGAAGACAAAGTGTCTCCAGGTGGCGCCGAACTTCCACTTCTGAGGCGGAGAACTGTTGAGCCGATGATTTCTCTTTCTGTTGTGCAGGTCAAATGATGACCAAAACAAACTTGGCTTCTTGGTAGGGGTAGGTTCGTCAGTCTCCTTCAGTGATTCCTCTTCTTGCGTGGGCTGGGGCAGCACGATATTCTCGGCGACTCTTTTCAGCTTATCCACAGCTCATCTGACAAGTCGTGGCAGGAAAAGCCATCGTATTTGAATTGGGGGTCCAGCAACGTGGAAAGTGTCAGGTGGTCTTTCGTGTTGATGTTTCGAAATCTCTCCTGCAATTGTGTCTTGAGGTTTTTGCCAAGGTCAGTTGTTTCCCCCATAAGGCAGTTGAAGAGAAGATGGACTAGAGGAATTATTTTTGAAGCGGAAGTATGAAGCTCTGTTGACAGCTCCACAGTTGCTTCAAAAAAAGGGCTCCAGTGTTTTCATGGCCGCTCGAAGAACATCCAGCTCAGCTACTGTGAGGCACAGGTCTGCTTTTCCTCTAAGACAGAGTGCAGTCGTTACTTGTTCATGCTGATAAACGTACGACTGGAGCATTTCAAAGGTGCTATTCCGTGTCTCGACGTCTTGTTTTAACTTGCGATGCACTGTCTGACTGGTCTTGTGTGCGTCCCTCAATGCGGTGTTGGCTAATGAGCTATGGTGAAAAAAAGTCACAATGGTTTTTACTTTTGTCTTTGCAGCAAACACTTCAGGGGTTTTGCGGATCGATTCCTTAACCACCAGATTAAGGGTATGGGCGAAACAAGGCTGGTGTCTGATCTTCAACAACTCAACAGCATTCTTGACGTTGGTACCATTGTCTGTGACGATCGTTGTGACCTTTTTCTCGATCCCCCACTCTGAGAAGAGGTCTCGGAGAGCTGAGGCGATTCTCTCTCCTGTGTGTGATCCTTCGAGGGTATTTGTGGACAACACCCAAGAATGAAGATGCCAGTCGAGATCGATGAAGTGGACCATCATTGTCATGTAGGCCTCCATTAGCCTTGATGTCCAACAATCTGTGGTGATTGTGACGTGATCCACTTGTCCAAGCAATGCCATCAATTTGAGCTTCTCTTTGTTGTATAGGTCTGGCAGGAGATGAGAAGTCAATTGTTTCCTCGAAACGATTTCATAACGGGGGTCATTTTATGCATGAGTCGCCTGAACGCCTTGTTCTCTACAACTGAGAGAGGTTGTAAATCTGTTGTGATGAGCGCAAGGACGCATGAGTCCAATTCTTTCTTCCTCGCACTTCCAGGTTAATACTTTAGAGTGCACTCAACAACAGCCTCAATAGTCATTTGCTTTGCAGTGACAGCACATGTAGATGTTGACATTGACGTGCACGGGGCATGTGTAACATTGATGGGAAGTGATGTCGCTGCCGGGATACTCATAGATGTCACGACAGCCAAGTCTGCAGATGCTGATGTAGATGCTGTAGATGAGGTGGTGAGGTTCAGGAAAGATCTTGGTTGAGCTGATGTTTTTAAAGAGTGCTCTTCATACGATGCCAACTCAAAAGGATGTTTCAGCCGAAGGTGTCGCATAAAGTTTGTTTGTTGAGTTTTTGCAGTATGCCAGCTCAGTTTTACAAAGGTCACAAACAGCAGACTTCTTGTCGCCTTTTAAAGTGAATAATTTCCAACATAAACTTGATTTGCCACGGGAAGACATGTTGAGCTCAAAGAAAGGTTTTACAAAATGATGTTAACTTTGCTAGGTCTCTGATGATACTGATACGATTCTTCGCAAAATGAAAATGATAGAAAATGTAGGGCAGTGGGGCATAGGTGAGTAGAACCACGAAGGGGAGGGAAGAGTGTGGCATCAGACAATAGGTCTACAATAAAGGTAGCAAGTTGTAGAGACAGAGCGATGAAAACAGCTCAGACGCAGCCAAGATAAGCAAGAGAGTAGGAATGGGACGAGCAGCAGCAAGATGCGAGCCTCAAATACGCAACTGTTACGTCCCTACAACAATGAATTAGTTTGATGGGCTGATTTATTGAATGATAACATGTTTCTAGTTTCTAGTTCAAACATCTTGGCACTTGATCGTATCCTTGGTAGGTGCATCGGAATAATCCAAATTTAACCCAGTGGAGGGAACAGGTGGAGAATTTCCCCGGCTCTACTCTACTGACCTCAATTAGCAACTCCAATTAGCGATTAGCGACCCCATAAATTCACCCCCCCCCCCCCAAACGCCATGATTCGCTAAAACAATGGCTCCATAAAATCCCTTCTGTCTATTGGTTGGAACCCGTTCATTTTGTTTTAATAGGGGGGTTTGACTATGCCATCTTTTGTAAAATAAGGGGAGCCATACTAAGTGTTCCGTTCCGTTCTTGCGCTTGCGATTCGACTCGAGACCCACCAGAAGGTAACAAACAAGCGACAGCAACAGGGGAGTGAATCGGGAATCGTTTGGCGGTACTGTTCCGCGTTCCGCTGAAGTGAATCGCGAATTGCGTTCCGCAGGGAAGCGTGGCGATTCAGTTCCGTTCTCGCGCTCGTGACCCAGCACCTGGCCCCGCGGAAAATTGCATTTTTGAAATAGAAAAATTGCAAAAAGTTGCGAGGTAAACCGTGCAAAAAATTGCAACCTTCCCATCCCAGGTACATTAATACGGGCTTAACAATTTTAGTTTAAAAAACTTGACAATTTTGAGTACCGGTATCATAAAAGCAGCTCAATCTTTTAAAAAATCATGACAAACAATACAAATTCATCAAATGTTATTAACAACATTTACTAGTAACAACACACGAGAACGTTAACAATAAAGTTATCGACGAAATATAATATGATAACGCGTGACACAAAATAACAGAACCCTCGGTTTTTGTAATAACTTTTAAATAAAGGTATAAAATTTGACCAAATTTAGTACATACCTGGTATTTGGTTCATGTAAAAATCTAGAAGTGTATGAGGTTTAGTCTATAAAAAACAAAAAAATTGACGAGAGATTTTCGAAACAACCTATAAATACAAAATAAGCTTATGCTCCAATCAAATCAGATCCTGTTCTATTTTTGTCTTGAAACCTTCGATACACCGGTAATCTTTATTTAGTTCTATTTCTGATACTTTCTGTTTTATAACCGGCATGGTATCGTTTTAACACTAAGTCAAATCGTAAAATACAGCAAATTTTTTCCCCATTTATAAACAATAGTAATACATGTATTAATGTAGATCTAGATCATTTCTATAGCTCCCACTCCCGTGTGAACGCAGCTTAAGGCGTTTTACATAACGGGGTGTTTACGTACACGGTATGCGGACACCTAGCCTCAGTGTCTACGTACACGGTAACCGGCAACAGGGCACGTAGTCTCAGTGTCATGTACACGGTAACCGGGCAGTTAAGAATTCCAAGTTCAGTTTTTGTCGTCCGGTGTTGCCTTCAACTCCAGCCCTCCCCTGACTGTACATTTTTTTAAAAAAATCAATAATTCTCCTATTCCGGAGCCCTATACTTCATAGCGCACAGACTTTGAATGAACTTTGGTGACCCCAACCGGTACTCACAATGTGATGCGAGAGCACAGGTTCACTGACCGGTAACGATGGCGAGCCCGACATGACGCGTGTATAACAGTATAACTTTCTTTTTTTTAAATTTCAACAAGTGACAGCACAGGACAAATATTGGTTAAATTTCATTCCGGTCGGTTACCGTGTACGTAGATACTGAGACTAGGTGCCCGGTGGCCTATTCACGCGCACGCACTCACACGCACACACCTACTTTCTTATCACACGAATTTCCGGTTATAGCTTTTAGAGTACGCTCAGTAGGCTTGAGCTGAGCCGATCAGGACTGGGACCGATACCATGATTTACGTAGGCTTATCGGTTCTGTGCTCGCACCTTTTCGTATTAAAAATTCTGTTAAAATCAAAGCGTTGATGTATTTTTGCCTAAAATTGCAAGAAATTGCGAAAATAGCAAAAAATTTCGGGTTTATTGCTGAACTCGACGAAAAACGCGGCCGCGCGGCCACAAGTGCGGCCGCAAGTCCGCCATTTCCTGGAGGGCCAGCCCAGCACTACTGCTCACCTCTCTAGCTTCAAAAGTACAACATCTCCTTCGACTATCAAGGCACCCCAGAAATAGCAGGTCACAAGAGAGTGACAAACATACAAAAGAAGTAGAGGAAAATGACAAGAGTAAGGACTAAGAAAGAAAAAGCAGCAGTTCCCTGTTCTAGATCAGGCACATGTATGAGCGTGACATGAGTCAGCCCATTTACAATTCTAATATGCTTGAACGAGAAATGTCCCCCCTATGGGAATGGCCTAAAGACACTACAGTCAGTGGCACTGCCCCGGGGGTAAACCTTTTTTACTTACACATATTAAAAGAATAAAGAAGTAAGTACTTTATCATCCACAGCCCGTGTGACCAAGGTTTATGAACACAGTGAAACTTGCGTAAAACGTGTAGTAGTTGCCTACCTAGTGTACTGCAGACAGCCTCGGTTGGCTTTGAAACATGGCAAACAATGGACTGCTATAAATGCTACAAATGCCCCTTCAAGACAAAATTTAGCATGCACAAAGCGAAATTGGCAGGATTTTCCTTACCATATATACAAATTTCGCTATGTGTACAAATTTCAGGCTATATTGAGGGAGGTAGACAAAGTTGAACAATTGGGTCAAAACTTTGCAGGAATTATTTTTAAAAATACACCATGAAGCGTGCATGGCAACAATTTGGATACATGCCTTCATGCAACCACAAAACTCCTCAAACTCAACTGAAGTGTGCAGACTGGATCTGCAGCTGAATACTTATGATGTATGTAAAAAACATGTCCTTGAACTACATTATTGCCTTCGGCTCACAGAAAGCTCGTTGGCTTACACTCATGTGTCTGCTCTCTCTCTCTTTCATTATGGCTACTTCAGTGAATGAAATTTGCAGTTATGTTTAAAATAAAATCTAATCCTGCTGACACCAATTTTTTCCCCAAAGTAGGTACAAATTGCTTATGCTATGCGCATGTTTTTAATACAAAGAATATATATAAAAGAAAAAATTTGGGTTATGAAAATGGGTTCATTATGAGTACACTAAACAGTATAATCATTTTTTTTCATGAAACTTTTTATTTCCTACGACTAATGACAAAACTGATAACCAGCTACTTACCTTCATGGTAGCTGAAAATCTCCATGCTCGGCTCAGTGTAGGGATTATAGGCTGGCTTGAAACGCAGTTTTTTTATGCCTTCATGGAGATATAAAAAGATATTTTCATAATAATTTGGGTAACCAGTACATATACTCACAGGGTAAAGCACATATATTTCTGCTTATGTTGCAATCAAGTTTGTTGTACAATGATTTCAACAGCACTGTCCACAAAGACATTTACTAAACGAAACACAGAGTAAACTCAGCAAGTTCCTGAATACATTAAGATGTAACTGGAGAAAAACTGACCATACACAATACACCCAACTCTCCAAGGTCATTACAAGCCTAACTAATGATACTGGGATACCTATACAATTTCTGGAAGTCTCAACCTTAATATATATTTTGGCTTACGTCGACCTCTTCCTCCTACACAAAATGCAAGCACATGATGTCCACAGTATTGCACATACAGGGCATCTCACACTGAATGACTGACAAAAAAAGTTAAATAAAATAAAAATACAGTAAATAAAATAAAAATACAGTAAAGTCCTTTGGTAGAAACAAGAAGGAACCATCTGAACAGACAGTAACGCAATGTATTGTATGAAAAATGAATTTGCATGTGTTAGCTTAACAAAAGGATACTCCACATGCCCCCCCACCCCCCATTCTGCGCAATGCATTTCCATGTCCTATTCTGTGTTGCATTCTGACACTGCTAGGACTTAGTATACATAGTAGCTCAAAACAAGGTCTATGTCTTGATTTCTGAATTCCTTTCAATCACATCATTTGGTCTTTCTGTTGCCTACTGCACACAATTCCCAGAATTAACTTTTCTAGTCCTGTAGAAATGAGTCTCATCGCTAAAGCAAACAGACTGTAGAACGTTCTCACTCCATCTCACGTATCTTAAAAACACTCATTGGTATTCTCTCCAAAGAATTGTCTAGGGTTATTCCTTGGTGGACAAAAATGTGATATAGCTTCAATTTCAAATTTTTTGTTTGTTTTAGTAGAGGTTTTACGGCGCTCGCAACTGCATAAGGTCATATGAGTTCCAGAAGATTATAGGTGTCACAAGAGAGTAACAAACATAAAAAAGAAGGAGGGGAGATAAGGACGATAGATGTTTGAAAGGAAAGAAGAAGCAAACCACACCAGAGCACCCACCAACTTTCAAATTTTGAGTCTGGGACAGTAGATACACCTCAAAATGGCCAGTGACACATGCGTTTTGGAGATGGCAATGTAAAAGCGAAGTCAATGGCCTCTATTCGCAATGTTCATATCCCATTCCCTTGATACATTATGCACAATCTACTTTGTCCCATCTTGTTTTATCCTGGAGTAGAGCTGCTTTACATATCCATTCTTAATCATGAAAGACAACACTTGACTAAGAGACTCTCGACGGGTCAAAAAGTCAGTCACAGTGCACACCTGTCCCCGTCCTTTCATGACAACATTCAGGCATTCATGCATATCCTGAAAGTCCTATGAAAATTCCTTTAGCTTGCTCCTTTGTCAGACTTCTCATTAGTGCCACACGATGCTAGAAATCAGGAAGACTAATTCACGTAATTACGAACATAATAAATATCATATTCATTGTGCTACTTTCCTTGAATGATTATACTTTTATATCTGCTTTACTTGAACAAATTATTATTTCCCTGACGTGAAAGAATGCCAATATATTGAGATAACAAAATAATCCATTACCGCAAAGACTGACCTAATTTGTTGAAGAACTGGTTAATGGTTCCCATAAGGTCACCAAGGGTGAGATCCCTGTCCGCGACCACACCCTCAATCTGTTGGAACTCAGCTAAGTGAGTTGCATCTAAGTTTTCATTGCGGAAGACACGGTCAATGGAGAAGTATTTGACAGGTCTGAACTCCTTCTGCAAAATATGTTTGGAATAATTTTACATTATGAAGACACTAAGTTGACTAAGCTTTGCATGAAATGGTTTTTACAAATGCCATTTTGAAAGTTAATTCTTTTTTATCATGCTCTTATACTCATAATGTGATGTGCATATCATTTTCCATAGTGTGCAGTGATAGTTGGAATGTTTACGTATGTGTTAGCGTTAATCTAAAGAGCGAATATATGCATGTTCATTCATTTTTTTAACAGGAATAGGCCCAATACAAATTACATTACCATTATTATTAAATACTTAGGGCTCAGTACATCTCTACACAAAAGAGAAAGCAACTCCTACGATGTAAGTTCTGAGCTGATACCAAAAAGCATTAGCTACCTATGTCTATGTATTCTGGACAGTCAGACAGAGCTTGAAACAGACCTAACAATAATTCAGTCTAAAACAAAAATACTGTAGTGCAGTTAAATACAGAAGGAAACATAAAATCAACTTTTGTTTCTGCCTCCATAAGAACATCATTTCACAAAGGAAAATTATCATTTACCTCTTGGGCAAGTTTATACAACATTCTTGCACTAACAGCTGTTGTATGTGTTCGCAAAATGTTTTTTTCAGCTTCTTCTAGCTTCCAGTCATACTTGTACCTAAAAGAAAAGAAAGAAAAAACTCCGTAAAAACAATACCTTTATCCCAAAACAAGAGGGAGATTTTGAATCTGATTCTCGAGAAGGGACCAGTATAGAGATTTTCTGATGAACTAGATGAAGAAGTACAAGCAAGTCTTTTCTGTTGTAAATAAAAGGGTCCACAGTAGATAGAGGAAACAATGTATAGGAGCAGGGAGGGGGGTTTGTCAGGAGGAATAAAACATTCAAGCTGCTAGTGATCACAATGGAAACAAAGGGCCGAATCTTGCTACATTGCTACATAATGATTTCCTCGCATGGCTACCATGACGAAGCAAATACACAATAAAGGACAATTATTTTCCAAAATTAAGGAGAAATGCCAATATTTTGAAATACCTATTGAAATTCCTAATTAAATTAAAATTAAACAAAAATGTTTTGTTTGGGGTCACGGCCTGAGGACCAGTATATTGTTCCGTTGACATGCTCAGGATACAAATGGCTTTCACTCAGCACTGTCAGTGGATGGCTTTACTTGTTTCCACTGTTCATAGACAGCAAAGACAAAAGTGATGTTTGCACAATCCATATGCTGATCTAGAAGAAGTTTTTGTCTTAATAAACACTAGAATGCATACAATGTCAAAAACACTCTGCCAGTTGATATCTACTTACAACATCAAAAGAAACTACACCTACATCCTTATGCCGATAAACAATAACCAATTCTACAGAATGTTTTTTCTTCAACAAAAATCAAAACTATCTTAATACTTCTTCTTTTTTTTCTCGACTGACCGTTTGATTGATCCATTTTGCTAAAAAAAAAAAAAAAAGGCCTGTTCTCCACGTCTATACCTGAAAGTAGTAAAACCTCTGAAGAACAAATAAAACCTCTGCTCAAACCACAACATTATGCAAAGTATTATACGTTAAGTCAAAGAATTAAAAAATATTGACTATAAATAGACTTACCCTTGAGATCCATAGCCACCATTTGAGTGAATATTTTTCACTTTTTCCAAATAATCCATGGGAAAGGCGCTTGCTGTCTTGGGATCTGAGAGGGGAAAAATACTTTCAGTAATTCATGTAGGCCTACTCAAAAAGTGGCTTGTTGCAGATAAAACTTATGCTGCTCAATCCTGTTGCAAACAATAGAGAAATAAATGTTTATTTGATGATATGGATTCACCATTTACCAACTCAACATGTCTTAGAAGGTACTTACTGCTTACATATCACAAGTTCCCCACTGTTTAAAGAGAAAGTAATAAAATGTTGTCAATTCAAAGACTGTAGTATGAACTTTTCAAAGTATGCTGAAAGCTTATCCAAAGTTGTACGTATTCAATTTAAGAGTAGAAATTTTTGCAAAAAAAATAATTTAGGAGACTTGTAGTAAAATCACCCCTTCCTCCTGAAAAAAAACTGGAAAAAAGTTGCTAGTTACGTAAAAACATACGACTCATAAGTTGCATCGATGGGTGCAGTCATGAAAAAAAGTAATGTCAAACTATTAGCTTGGGAGCGCTTAACCTTTAAACATACCAGAAATAAAGAAAGTATCATGAGCATCTCTAGCAGGATGTTGTTGTGGCTGGAATAGAGCATCAAAGTTCCAGAAGCTAGACTCTACATAGTTGTTGGTGGGCATTTCGGTGAACCTGAGTACACACAAAAAAAACAACCCTTTCATACATCGGAGTGAGTACAAAAATATGAAAAACTTTTTTGGGGGGGGGTATTTTAACGCTCCCCCCCCCCCTTCCAACAGGCTCAAAGGCAGTTAAAAGGAAGATTAAAAGCCTGTATCACCTTCAATTCTGATTGGCTCCTGTCATATGATAGGGAGATTAAATATTAAATATAATGTTGTGACAAAAAACAGGCGCGGTTCAAACGTCAAAACACACCGCTTGAATCGGTAACATATCCCTTATCCAGACATGTCAACCCCCATCAGAAATTTTTTTTATTTTTCATGGAAAAAAATAGGAGTCTGAAGAAAAAAATAGGAGCATCTAACTTAACATCCATATTCCCACACACCATAAATACAACATTCTGTGATCTAGGCTAGGCCTTGACTAGGGCTACTCTACTTCACCAAAAGTCAAAACATGCACACAGGTTGAAAGAAAAGCTCTTTATGATTGTCTGACAAGATCTCGGGAGTAAGGAAATCGCCAAACGAGAAAGATAGTAAAAAATATGGGGGCATTCGGCAAGTTCCGCAATCGAAATCTGCTGTTCCGTTTGCCACATATCTTACTCGGATAGGCCCTATCTCCGGGAAGCTCTCCTGTTTACTTTGAAGTACAAAGAAAGAAAAAAAATCATTCTTAGCTAAGGCGCTATGTAGGTCAACAGGAAGTTACCATTGACTTCTGACCTGTGGCCAGGCCTGAGTGACACGCACAGACTTCTTTGTTGCAATAGCGTCACTTTCATTGCTTGTGACGACATAATTAGGCCCGCTCCCCCCAAAATAAAAGCTGGAATCTGGCTGGCTATTGTTTTTAAACCTGACCCACAAAGTTCATGGACAAAAGTTTTCCATAGTAGAGGTCGAGGCCATCTACGTACATAATTATACAGTGTGGGCGGTTCCCGCTCCGGGCTGTGTGTCGTAGATCTACAGCAGGCGTGTTACTCGGATCGCGCGTGGTGTGCTGTAGATCAACAGTGTGAGTGGGCGACGAGCGGGCGACGGGTTAAGGGTTTTCCAGACCCATTTTCTGAATAGACGAGACATCCGATCCGCGTTAGGCTGAGTTTTCTCGGCTTGGGAAAAAAATCAGAGTTCCGCATATTCTGTCGGAGTCATTCAAAATGATACAAATATCGGAGTAATTATGACAAAATCAGAGCAGTTGGCAGGTCTGCTTATCCAATCTTTTAAACCCACTGTTAGGGACAGCACACAGACTACACTAATGCTAGTTTGATTACTGCTATTACATGACGTAAAAACAATGGATAAATAGAAGAAACGCAGCAATCAATATTCTGTGAATCCATTCCAAGAAATGCACAGCTAGCAGATATGTGCACATATCTGTATGATATGTGCACATATCTGTATGGAACATTTTGAATATTAATGGTATTGCTGACAGCTTTAATAAATACTTCGCTGGTAATCAATAAACAGAGCCATTCACTTTGGCAAGCACTAGGTACCCCAAACTGACTATTTTACTTGAGCAGAAGCTAGCTTCCTTAGCACACTGAAATGCACTTTTTTCTTCCTATTTACATTGATTCTTAATTTACCTTTCGGTGATTATTAAGAAAGCTATGACATTTTCTGTTTCTTTTCACTCCCCAAACTCACAACATTGGTTGTTCAATTATTTTTAACTCATCACAACACAAAAACTAAGACAACAGGATGTTTAATAATTTTCTAGATTGTAGCTCAATCTCAATTATTTATTTTTCAGCAGTCTCAAGAAAGAGAATGTCAACATTAGTTGGTTTTACGTTTGCTTGTCATTCAAAATGAGGCATTCTCCCAAACATGCAGTCAGAATGGATGTAACATCACCCGCAGGTGCGTGGTCCACTCTCCATTCATCCTGCTGCTAAATTATGGCTCACGCTGTGCCCGAGCTGAGGCAAAAGCAAACGATAGTCATGTTTTTTCCAGGGTTTGCTCTTCACAGAAATAATGGTCACTGGTTTGATTTCAGCATATTGAAATGAGCAATGTTCTCAGTTCAGTTTCCTTATGAATTTGCCCCTGGCCTGAGACTTTTTAATGATTTTTTTTTATCATTTAAAAGTTTTCAAATCGCATTTTCAAAGCGGAGTCTGGCTTGAATCCACCACAAACAATAATCAACTGGAAACCCACTCACTTAACTTTCTCTCTGTTTTAGTTTTGACTTTATAAGCCCTTTTCCCAAGGAGTACAAGTCGTTGGTGTATGACAAGGGTTGTTCTTGCCCTCACAAAACCTTCCAAAAGCAGCCAGGATGTACCTTGCTTTAATGAACTGTACACACAAACTAACAACTTCAAATACATAAAACTGTATATTTTATGAAAGAAAAAAAATAAATCTTATTTTCATATCTTGGACATAGCAGTCATGCAGATATAGCTCAGAATTATGCTTGTGGGAAAGACAACTAAACTAATCACAGCGGATAAAATACCCTCCAGACCGCTCACTTAGTTTTTCTTCCCTGGTTCCTCCCCGACCATCCTGACCACCCAGCCTGCCCCGCCCGACAGCCCAGCATATAGTCATTAATCACCTGTCAGAGGGGTTAATTGGGGTGACCGCAGCGCCACTCCTCCAGTGCCAGGGCAGTAGTAAATATGGCGTTTTAGTGAGAATTGACAGCCTCCTAACTCTGAAACTATAAATGCTGCAAGGCCAATTGAGATTTCATTGTAACGTGCTATGTTTGACCTGTAAGCCAGTATAACTTGTTTTCTTGCAAGTCCGATTATATCAGTTTTACAAGGGATTTAAGTAAGTCTGTGATTTTCAAACTGGCATCTTCAATGCTCAGAACTTTTTAAGTTTGGATTTAAATATTTCAATCCGGCCCCCAACAATTTAAAGAGAAATTCATGGATCAATTATGGTGACAATTTTCATTTACATGTGCAAGTTTCAAGTGCATTAAGTTATTCTATGATTTTCTGTGATTTAAAAAAAAATACCAACCCACCACTCTAAACATTCATCCTTGCTGTTTTTAGTTTTCTTGCCTCTACTACATCTGATTTTCGGTGTCATTTTTAACAATATATTTGTCATGGAGTGCCACACTCAACATGATCATATGGTGGGCATTGTGCTCAAACATCATCGCCTTCTTGAGGAGGCTGCACATGATATAGATGTACAGCTGGTCCATCGATCTATGGAGGACTGCACGCCTAGAATAGGACAAAATGTGCATATCTACGGCAAAAAAATGGAAGAGGGCTGAAAAAAATTAGGGGGACATTCAATTGTTAGAGGGCAGTCAGGTTTTGGTCAGATAATCCATGAGAAGCAGAGAGATTTGAGAGGGAGGGTTCTAGTGTACATGATCAGCTGTCAGAGTTAGAGTTTGAGGAGCTTATTCCAAGGTCAGGTCCTGCCTGCTCTGAATTTGATAACATCCTCAAACAACACAACATCACACCACGCGCCTACCACAGCCGTTCATTTATAGGAAACTACTGCTGTAAATACATCACAGCCCATTTGTACAGACAGCTAGCATCATTTTTAACAAAAAGAACAGTTGCATGTGCACGAAATCAAAGCATAATAGACACCTCATTAATTGTTCTGAGAGAGAAATTTGTTCACGTAAACGACACCTTCAAAGATATCCACACAGTAATTGCACATGGAAAGCCAATCACTTTAGAGAGAATACCACATATTCAGTCATGCATCACACGATATATGTCTTTATACAGAAACATATTTGGCAAATAAAAGGTCTGGAGTCGATAGTGCTGTAAAACACGTGCTACTCGATCAAAATCAATCAAAAGAAAAGGTCATCCCCAAACAACACATCCTTGAGAAACACTGCGTTCCTTGGATACAAAAATATGTGTTTGGAATGGCCTTCTATAGTGAGCGAGGGAGTGAGCTCATTCATGCAACCCTGGCCAAGCTTGAAAAACGAGTAGCAGCAATAAAAGACAAAGAAAAACACGTCAAAACAATCATGCAGTCACAATATGTCCAAACCCACCCAAAGCTACTCTGTCGTGTGCACCACCCATCAAAAGACGAAAGCTTACAGTGGAAAAATGAGATAATTCCTCCAGTCCAACAATATTGTGTTCTTTTTGTATTTTGTGTTTAGGTTGTGTTTTCATAAGTGTATCGGCAAGGAAAGATCTGTTCTGTAGTTACATGTATTTTGGATATCGCTATGAAAGATCAAGGTCGCAAAGCAAGAGTATTGCAAAAATCAACTTCAAACCGGAATTATTACAGATCCAGAAGCTTTTTGAATATGGCGCTTTGTGAGTACAAATTTCATTATGTTCTCAGTCCTATGTGCAAATTTTATTGAACTCATTGGGGGCAATCACATTTAAATTGATGTTTATAATTGATTACCCATGACACATTTATCAAATTAAGTCCCCTTTTTGAGAACTTCACAGCTTTTAAGTGTAATGTACCATGATCTTCTGATTTCTTCATTTTCTTCCTTAATATGTTGAATATTTACGTGGTCTTTATTAAAATGTTCATCTTACATTAGCTTTGGCTCACTGTGCTGGTAAACTTTGCAAAAAATACAAGAACGCTGCCGGTGTTTGGCTGATGAGGGAAATCCCCGGCGGTGCAGGTAAATGACCCCGTGACTTGGGGAAGTGATGGCTTGCTTGCCTCTTGCCAGCTGAAACTAAATGGGCGCTCCAAACCCGCTGTGTAATGCAAAATGGGTGACTTCGCCCACCTGCCCAGCCAGTTTAGACTACCTACAAGTACACTTTTTTTTATATCACATTATGTGATTAAGCTCCAAAGACCCAGATCAAGACTGCATACGGTTTCCTTGTAAAATACACAAGTCTTACCCCATTTCCAGGAAAATCTGCCTGAACTGTTCCCTCACTTTGAGTAAAGGGTGAAGATGTCCCGTTGTAGCAGGCACTCCGAGAGACTTGAAGTTGTATGGTTTGAACTGGGTTGTCTTCCAACTCCCACTGGAAATCATTTCTGGGGTGAGGTCAACCTGTGGCTTGCTCACTGAGGTGGTGAAGTTTTCCCCTTTTGTTATTAAATAGCTAACTTCTTTCCTGGAAAATGAGATTAGACAGTTTGAGAGTCCCATTTGCCATCTGCTTTGTGGAGAAGTCAGATCATATCTAACTTTCATTGTCATATAAGTGATTTTACAAATAAGGCAGGGGGGGGGGGGGGGTTACCAAGTTAACTATTTAAAATCGGCAATGCGACTTACTTCGAAAAACATTTTTTTGTTTCTCAAACAGCAAGAAAAGAACATTTAATCCTGTGGCTTAATGTTCTTCCCACTTGTTTGTAAACACATTCATCCACCTACTTTTCTTCCAGTTGGACTTCTTAATCTCATAAGTGTCGAAAAGGTGTATGCACAAATTCATTTGAATGAAAAAGCACCAATCACACAGTATAAAAATCAATACACTTTAGCAAAGGAAACTTCCAGAGTCAGTCAAAATTGTCCTGGAGTCTAACACCATAAGTACACAGTCACAAAGTACCATTTGGACTACAGACCCCATTAGGAGACAATACAGAAAGAAGAAAATACATCATCATCTACCTCTTTTTAACAGTCTACTGCAGTCCTTGTGCCCATCTGAAAAGACAGCATGTAACTGATTTTGCTGTAGAATTTGCCATCAGTTAGCTCCCTTCCCTCTAAAAGAAATAAAAACATTCTTAACGAGCCTTACAGCAATCCTAAGCCTGCGACCACCTCAGGTTTGGTACTTTAGAAGGAAATTAACCCCCAAAAAATTATTTTGATAAGTCTTGTGTAAAACCCGCCACCTGTGTATGACAGCTACTTTTCTCCTCGACAATGATTGGCTGACCAAGACAGTTCTGACAGTACATGTGTTTTAAAACTGCTGGTTATGTGAGAAATTGAATCTGGTCTGTTCGGGGAGACCTAGATACCAAGCTGAAAGGCCTTAAGAATTAAAGCTATGCCGAATAAAGACAACACCATTCTAACAGATTGAAGCTTATACAGAATTTCATGCTAACCTGCATGTCTGTCTGTTTCATAGTTTTGACAAACTAAACAACAAATTAAAATTGTTTCTTAAGAACAGTTACCTCCATTCCCTATCATCCTAGACTTCTTTATGTTACACACAAAATTCACTTACACTTCAGAAATAAGCTTCCGCTTCTTATACTCATTTCTTTGGGCATCTGTGACATCATCAAGCTGCAGTTTAGATATCTTTTCGAGACAAGCCTTGACCACATCTTCTATAGAGTCAACCTATGAATACATTTGAAGGAAAAATATTGAAAGAAGTACCACAATGAGGCACCAAAGTGAACTAATCCTTTAACATCGAACTTTTCACATCAAATTTGTATTAATTTTAACACAAACAGCAAGACACAGGCATAACATACAAGACATTAACATTAACATGACCAAATTCAAAAACAAAATTTCATAATTCTAAAAAAAACAGTGAATGACAGCTGATCACAGGGTCTTGTTAATATGTGCACAGCAGGTAGCATTAGCATGCTTCCGGTTCTCGTCACTAATTTAAAAATTGTTGAAGAATGGATGCATGCGGTACAAAGAGGTAGTTGTTGGATAAAGGTCTCAGTTGTCGGCAATGTTCTTTTTGAGCAACGGGGTGAAACGGTCAAAAAAGCTGAACCCGCTCAATAATTTGGTTACATCGGAAAACACACGTTTTACCATTTATTAACAACATATTGGAAGAATTTTACAATATCATAAGTCTAAATATTTGTTATTAGTTATTTTTGCAACATATTGTACTTCACCAAAGGTTAAAATGTGCTGGAAATTGGGGTTTTCTCCAAACTTTGTGTTTTTACACCCTGTTACAAAATGTAACAAAACTTTAAATAAAACTGTTGAAAAATTTTTTAATTAAGAGTTTTCAGCATTGAATTGGCTACAGAATATGCCCTTATTTCAATACCCAAAATTTTCGACAACTGGGACCTTTCTCCAGGCACCCACACATTTGTATCACTCCCCCACTTATTGGGCAAAAGAATTATCAACAACTGCTGCCAAACATATGTTTTGGGGTACAAGGTGGTCTTAAGAAAATTATCACACACTCTCAACTTTTATAAGGTGATGCACAAATTACATAATATAAAATACATTCCTCCTATTCCATTGAGCTTGAACGTGGCATTGTCATTAAGAATCCCTAAATAAATTTTACATAAACATATTTTTTGGGGCTATATACCTTTTATATGTCTATTTAAAAGCTTGAACATGAAAAACATTGACCGAAGGCACAAAAGTGAAAATTTGCAGTTTCCAAGGACTCTCAAGCTTTGAAATATTATTACCAAACTTTGAAGGCCCTTTTTCTCCCTAATTTTCCCCTGACACAAGGCATAATAGAGTAGAGATATGTGTGACTGAAAAAAATGGGGGCATTTCCTTCGTTCGCAAATATCTCTACTTCTATTCAAGATAGATGGGTATTTATTTCATCAGAGACAAGACAAGACAAATGAACAAGCTTTAAGAAGATACAAATAACTCCATATGCCCCAAAATTGACAAGCGCCTGATTCCACGGCGTCATGACACATGTACAAAAAAACGAGTCCATGGATGATGAAAAGAAATATTAGATGTTAAAAAAACAGACAGCAGAATTACTATCTTGGTGTTGATATAAAAGTAAACTATGAACTGCCTTGAGTAGTCTGAGTAACACCGGTGCTAGTAGTTTATCTTATCATTCTCATCATTATGATACATAATTGGGGTAACTATTCATCAATTTATGATAATGAATTGTTATCAGGCTTTCAGAGATGACAACTATCAGTATGCACATACTGCTACCTATTGTGCCCTTTAACGGTTGGCAATGATTAGCATTTCACCGACTCTTGTCAACCATGTCAACTCCCCGGGGAAATAGCATAATTTCTTACTGTTGCTGGTGATTTGGATGACAGAGGGGAGTGAACATTGATCTAGAACTGCCTACTTTAAGGCTGTGGTACGTAGCTCAGGTTTGAGAATTAAGAAACATCATTTCTTATAAAGGCTGTTGTACGTGCAAAACCACGACTGAAAAGGAAATAACTGAGAATAAAGGTTAAAAAACCTACTTTCCTGAAGACTCTGGGGCCTCCCTCTGCAGCCTTGTCCACTTTGATCCATCCAGCAGACATGGCTTTGCTAAAGCCCACCTTTGCATTTGGTACAGACGCCTGTGGGATTAAAAAAAAAAAAAGCAAGACTAAGACCATAATGGGCTTAGGATGCTGACAGGAGTAGGAATAGAGAAAGCAAAGGGTTTTCTTAAAATTTTGAGTCTTTACTCTTTTCCCTTCGCTATTTTATTCTTCTATTTTCAAAAGGTAAGACAAGTCTGCCGTCGTAAGGGAAAACGACGAATGGTCAAAATTTGTCGATTTTGGTATTTTTACATATTTCATAGAGTATTTAATTCTGCACCTGATGGTGTAAAATTTTTTGTCATATCCTAATCCGTTGTTGCGTAATTGAGAGTTCGTCGTTTTCCCCTACAATGGCGAGCTCCGAGCCAGAGCTCAGTCTAAGGGAGAACGACGAATGGTCGATCGGTCAAGGATCACTGCTCGTTCAGCATTGTCCCCTGGTCTCTGCCGTTGGGCAAATTCTGCATGGGCGACGAATGACAATTGATCACTGTTGCGTCAGTACAAACATACTAGGTTTTTTTCAAACAAACACACCACCACCCCGTCCCCCGGAGTACCGTCGACCAGGTTTATAAGGATGTATCACTTAGTTTGTCTTTCTGTCTGTCTTCACGTATTAGGCCTATGCTGATGGTGTGAATTGACAAGAGCAGGCAGGAGAGAGAGGAAAACGGATGGGAATAGGGGGAAAGGGGTGGGGATGGGAGGGTCCAAAAAGTATTTAGGGAGAAATTTATTAGCACTGCATATTAGTGTCCGCCAGATGTTCGCAGACTAACGTCATGTTAGTTTGCTGTCCAGTCATTTGACATCCCAACGATGTTTATATTGCCGCAATTTGCCTAGCACGTGTCACTGGTCGACATCATTACAGAATTACCAAGCAATAAATGACACAGAGTTCTGAGAGTAAATTTCTTTGTCCAACTTAAAAAGTGGACGTATTGTGGCGACACTTAGTCTTGCTTTAAGATTTTTTATGACTTGATGGACGTTACGATTGAGTATGATAATGTCTTGCACATTCAAACTGTCCTTGTCGATCTCTACTTTGTGGTATGTTTTCTGATCTGATCAACTGAATCCTTTATTAAATACAAAGCGTCGCATTACCTCTCCCGAAAGCATTTGTGATAGTCTTGTCAGATTGTTACATTTCTTATGTGAAAGTTTGTTCAACTTTGCAACGATCTTATCGTATTATTGACATTGTAACATTGTTGATCCCTTTGGTCATGCAGGGAAAATTTTACAATTAGCGAAAATAAAAGTAAAACTCGCTTCTGAAGAGAATATTATAAAGAGATATCGTGGAGACTAAACCTTGGTTCCGAATGAGACAGTTTTAATTAAATCAAGCTGTTGAAAATGTGTGCACATCTGATTTGTACACTGACTGTGTAGTATTTAACCAAGCAAGGAAGGGAAACGAAGGCCGTTTACTGAGTTACAGTTGGGATATAACAAACATCTAACTTTATACGTATAAAAGCTAGTTTGTATACGTCTTATTTTTATTTGTAGTGACCAGTACACAGTCATTACTGTCAATAATGCATCACAACTGACCATCGCCTACGCCCATAAACGTTCACGAGTGTATAGGAGAACGACGAACCGTACCATTCGTCGTTTTCGCTTACATCGCAAGACTCACCTGTGGGTGCGCAGTGTAAGGGAGAACGACGAATGTAGAATAACTTTGCTACTTTTTAACCTAAACCATTCAAACTTTAGAAACTGTTTTATGAACACCTCAATCCGATATCTGGTGAATTACAGCTTAAAAGAGTGAAAAATAGAAGAGTTATAAAGTGAAAACAGTTTTTGCCTCTCCTGAAAAATTTGCCTCGCTACCTGCGCAGGACCATTCGTCGTTTTCCCTTACGACGGCAGAAGTCAGCTCTAATACATCCAGGTCCTTTATTTTTCCAGGAGTAGAATGCTTTTCACAGAGTACAACAAAAGAGAAAAAAAGTAAAAAGAAGACCTGTGTACAAAGCTACAAAGACATTTTGGGAGAAGCAGCAATTTCAGAGGAATGCAGAGTCAAGAATGGTCTCCAAATGAAAGGAAAAGATGCAGTACTAGTCACAAAAGCACATGTTTGAGGTCTGAAAAGACATGATGTAACAGTCTAGAAAGACTTATCCTGTCTTTGAACATATATCCCTTTGACTTATAATCAAATCAAACATTTTTGAACAAATGTAATTTCTACTCACAGATACAAAAGTGACAAACATATTGATCATATAGCATACCATGAGCGCTGACTGCGGAATCCCATCAGTTGGTACAGCATTGTAAACCAAGGCCTCGTGACTTCCATGTTGCAAAACTGATAATCCTTCATCTGTCAGCTGCCATTTTTTCTTCTGTTGATCCTTTGCATTTATCACCTGAAAGGAAACAACATAAGAAGAAAAATTTTAAAACTAATACACATCCCCTCACAAAAGTTGAGGTCTAAGCGCAGGTAAATTGGTAAGGATGAAATCATGAAGACACAAGTGTATGGGCTTTCTTCAGATATTTTGGTAAAATTCTAGAGATTTTCAAAATCAATGGGGTGGAATAAACATGTGACAATTCCCATCCCTTTCAGTTAGTTTTAATCTCCAGGGTAGAATCACAGCCTCACTCATAAACAGGAAACAGGAAAGGACAGGGTGCAGGCTCAGAGTAAAAGAAGTTCCATCTGCAGTGTAATATGTGAGGTATCGTGGTCAAAGCAGGAGCTTGTCTAAAAAATGAAATCAAAGGGACTGCATTAGTCCACTGAAAAAAGTTGATTTACGGCACAAAAAATGTACATTTTCAGTTTCAAAAGACTTACAAGCTATGGATGACTCAAAATTTTGGCAGGCCTTTCCTCGCTAATTCTGAAGTCAAGCGATCCCCCTACCTCCTTCAATTGCAAATATCTCAACTTTTATTCCAGAAAGATGGGCATTTTTTTCCATTGAAAGCAAGACAAATGAACAAGCTCTGAAATAACACCAATAACTTCATATGCCCCAAACTAAATGAGCACCTGATTCCACTGTGTTGTAACACACATATATATATATATATGATGATATAACATAGACAGGACACCTTTGGGATGTTATGTGATCGATGAGCATTCCAGAGAAATGTGAATGTTGTAATTCTGATTCAATAACACAAATTACATTACACAATAGATATTTTGGTGTGGAAGAGGAATACAGAGGAGTAAGTTCTTTGATAACAATTCACCAACAATGTGCTTGCATGTGTCTGGTGTATATTTGGGAAGGGGGGGGGGGGGGTGTGTTAAGTTTTAAAAAGAAAGGCTATTTTGATTTGACTGATGTTCTCAAACTGAAAGAAGCAGTGCCCACCATGCTATTTATTCCTGAACCCTTTGAGCCCTTGCCATCGGTACACCAGTGGCGCTTAAAACAGCCCCTTTGCCCAGCCACCAGTCACTTTAGTAATTTCATCAACCAAGAACTAAATTACTACACAGACTACGAATTTTTGTCACTTTGTAATGATTAAGATCAGTGTGTTTACTTCCGCCTGAAGTTGCTCGAAATTTTAGTGTGGTATTTTTATGTCAAGTGCACTGATTTCCAATAAACTTGGCTTTCAACTATTCCCCGCTAAGATGATGGTGTCTAGAGAAAGTGAGTATGAATGACTTCGTCACGCAATTTTAGCGGTGTAACAATTAAGATGTAAGTAATTAAGACTTGAATTGCCTTAAAACCTGCTTTCTGTGCAATATGACGGCAAAATGTGTGATTTATTGATAAAATCTAAGAGTCCCTTAAGGAAACTGATGAGTTTGGATCCATGCCAAAACAAGGAATGTTGGTTTTTATATTTGTTGTTTCGAAACGGCAATTGAACAAAGTGTTTGATTTCGTCATTGTAATGTTTTAGACTTGCTCTTTGTGTTTTACTGTCCTCGTAGGATTATGCAATTGTGTGGCCGCTTTCTCCAAGCGCTTGTTCCAAAAGGGTTTACAGGTTGGTTCTGCACCCCTGTGGGATACTCTTCCTTGCAGCATCTAAGATGGTGGAGGTGAGTTCACTATTAAGAGCGTCTATACTTTTATTGTCTAGATCATCCAGTTTAACGGTGTCCTCAGCTGTTTTCCTGAAAAGATCCCAGTTTGCCTTCTTGAAGTTCCAACGGGTTCTTCTTTTCCTTTGTCTGTGTTTCAGTATACTGATTTTGGTGAGAACAGGACGATGGTCACTAGATATACAGTCTAGCACCTCTTCACTGCAGTAGTTGTGTAAATCAGCAGAGACCAGGGTGAGATCTGGTCTGTGGAGGGTCCCATGCAGAGCTGTTAAAGTACTTTTAAAAAGGTACTTAAGTACAAATTTAATTACAATCTAAAATATGTACTTAAGTACAGTAAAAGTACTTTCCTGTAAAATGTACTTGAGTACAAGTACTTTTTTAAAAAGTACTTATGAGTACATTTTGAGTACTTTCTGCTAATATACTAAAACACTTCAAAATGCAAAACATCATATTGAATAACATATCTAGTATATTTGACAAATTCGGCCATTTATTACTAATAATGTAAACAGTATACAAAGCATTTGAATATACGCACTGAACGTAGGTGGAAATTGTCTGTGAAATTGAAAAAAAAACCCAGCAAACAAACAGACGCAACTAGTGAGTAAGTGATATTATGAATAGAATTTGTTTGAGCAAGACAATATGATCTAATGTAAGTCAGTCCTAGAGGTCGGAAAGTAGGAAAAGTATCAAAATTGGAAAATGTAGAGACAAAGTTGACCTAAGAAAATAAAAAATTGATGAAAATGGCCAGCAAAAAAAGTGCTTTGAATTCTTTAACAAATCCTCAAAGAATCAAGGTAGTCTTAAGCACAAACCACAAAAAAAGGAAAAAAGAAATTTAGGTAGCCTAAAAAATTGTTAGATTGATATACATTGAGAACTCAGTTTCAGTTTCAATTGATTATAATAGTGGTAAGACAGATTTTGGTCACACTGTGTAGTCCACGGCGCCCACGGCAAACCAAAATAGGCCTACATGTAATTTCCTAAAGTCTAGTAAGTGTAGTGTAACCAAAAATTCTCTACTACAGTAGTCTCCGCCTAAGATCCCAGTGCTCGGGAGCAAGGGAAATATGGGATCTTAGCCCGACGAAGCTAAGGAAGAATCTACAGTGACCCAAGAACTGACGTGACCCCTGGGTAGGTTTATGACATATGGCGAGCAAAGAGTGGTCATCCTTGATGACCAATCATAGTAGCATGGTAGCATGAGGCAAGCCATAATATTGTACCGTACACTCATTAGCATATCGTCTCGAGATCTTTATCTACGTTTATTCAGTTGCCCCTTCCCTTTACCTGTCCAAAAATTGTAGCCTTCCATCTCTGATTGAGTCCCCCCGCCTTTGTCGTTATGTACAATTATGCTGTGACCACACCAATTAAAATTCAGGCTGTCTCGCAATTTCGGGAATAGAGAAAAACTGCCTTCAACTTCAATGGTCAGGGAAGAGTTCACAGTTTGATGTGATCCTGCCTGGAGTGAACTTGTAGGCCCAACCCACCCAGCGAGGGATGAAAGTTCAGGTGGCGAGCTCAGATGCGAGTGCGATGTTTGGGGAAAAGAAACGCCCATCGGTCAGTTCACACCTCGGTGTGATCTCGTCTGGGGATCATTGTACCGTTTCATGGAGTTTTACAGCGCATGTGATCACATTCACAAGAGTGGTTGATCTTTGACGCGACGGGCAGTTCTTTAATCTCAACTTCTAACTCTTGGTTGATCGGCTGTGCCCGCCCGGGTGTTTGTTCCGTAAATTATGATCGGAAATGTCGGCACTTATTCTTTCATTAAGCTTCAAAAGTACTCAAAATGTACTTGAAAAGTACTCAAAAGTACTTTTATAAAAGTATCGGAGTACAGTAAAAGTAGGCTACTGATTCTCAAAATGTACCGGAGTACAGTAAAAGTACCGAAAATTGTAACGCAAGTACAAGTACCGGAGTACTTGTACTCCGTTACAACCAGCTCTGGTCCCATGTCTCCTATGAAGAAGTGTTTTGGTTGAATCCTCATCTTGAAGAAGGATGAGATTAGAGGACTGACATAGTTCTTATATCCTCTTACCTGTGTTGTTTTGGTCAGCATAGCCCCAAAGGGGGGAGTGTCCATTAAGGTCGCCAGCTATGACCGTCTTCTTAAGGATAGTACTCTGTTCCATGAAGTTCAGAGTGTTACTTGGGGGACAATAGATGTTATAGAGTATGAGCTTGCTGTTGCCATACCACAGGATATTGAAGTCTATAAGCTTCTCTTTTCCGTTACCAGTTGTAGGGGGTGTTTTCTTCTTGTTTTTCCATTTTCTCTGCTTTCTGATTTTCTTTTCCTTCCAATAACCATCCACCAGGCCAGCTTGGTTGCCCATTTAAGACCTGGGGGAGACCTTGATTACCGAGGCGGCGTCTCAGCTCGTATGGGTTTTTATCATTTGTGAATAGCATCTAAAACTGGTGGTTCTGTGATTTTTCTTCCATCCCGGGTTAGGAGATAAAGCAGTAGCTGTAGGTGCAATGCCACAAACAAAAACCCAACTCCATCACAGAGAGATTGTAAGAAAAATGAATGGGTATGTTGGTGTCTGTTGTATTATATTGAGGAGTTGTTTGAGGAGATAAAGAAGAGAAAGACGCTATTAAGAGCATAGTTGCTGTGTGTTGCAGAAATACAAAAATTATAAAATAATAATAATAATTTTAGTAGTAGTAATAATACCAATTGGAAGCTAGATTCCCCCCCCCCCCCTCCCAGAGCAACCAAGTCCTCTCATCCGAGAGATGGGGGCAGGGGAAGGCATGGCAGATCCCAGAGGGTTAATGTTGTCAACAAGCAAGGCGCAAATGGTCTCTGCACCTTCTCCGCAGTCATAGGGCTCTCCGATAAGAGCATGCTTAATACATGTATGTAGCTGGGTATTCCCTACGTAAAGTCACATCCAGTACAGTGCTGACAATGAACCTCTGCCTTCCACCCCACCAATACCCGTCCCAACTCCAGGTCAAAGAAAGGTTGTCGACGGAGAGAGGAGAAAAGAGAAGTTAATAAATGTAATAAAGTAAAACAATAAAAACAATAAATATAAAGAGTAAAAAACATAGTTAAGTAATATGTCTCTTTTCGGGGTCACCCCTGTACCCGTTAGCTTCCTCTTTTTCTTTTCCTATTCGAAGAGTACTAATCCCCCCACCACGAAGAGGTGGGTCTATTTGGGGGGGATAATTTTTGCATAATTTTGCTTTTTTGTGCATAATTTGGCCTTCTAAATTTGCATAATTCTATGGGGACAGGTTTTATCTTTATAGAATGAGTACCACTTAACTCAT